AGTGAGGTCGTATGAATTGTTACGAATTAGCCACCTCGTAAAATTCATACGAATTCCCGTGAGAACCTGGGTCTCACACCAAAGGCATGTGTCTTATCCACTGCGTCATGATATGAAATATGATATAAAAGCGATATATAAATGCCTTATTATTGCAATATTAGCATCAACAATATCAACGTGCAGGAAGCATGGTTTCAATTCAAATTAATGTCCATGGCAAATATTCATGTTGATGTGAATAGGTCTTAAAAAAAAAGTAAACTAACTTGGTAACACTTTACAATAAGGTTCATTAGTTAACAACATAACATGAACTAAGAATGAACAATACTTCTACAGCATTTATTAATCTTAAATCATATTAATGTCAACATTTACTAATACATTAATCAAATCAAAGGTTGTGTTTGTTAACACTAGTTAATGCACTGTGAACTAATATGAACAAACAATGAGCTGGGTTTTGATTAACTAACATTAACAAAATGACTAAATACTGTAACAAAACAAATGCATTTCTCATGGTTATGTTAGTGATTACTGATAACTAATTAACCTTATTGTAAAGTGTTCCCATTATTATGTCTTAGGGGGTACTGCCCCCTCTGCCTCCTCGGATGGAAACGCATGAAACTGAAGCTCGTTCACGAGTCATTCTAGAACAAACCTCATTGGTTTTAGTGCACGCACTTGCTTCTGTGTTTCCAGTGTGTGCAATATGCTCCATGTGTGTACTGTGTTCATGTCAATAAAAGCCTAAATTATGTTTGGTCATCATATAAAATCAAACAGGCTATCTCTTCATAAGACATGGATTAAACCGCTAAATTTATATGGATTAGTTTTACAATGCATACAATTGCATATCAGCTTTGGTTACCTACAGGTTTTGGGACGAAAGGGTTTGTAACGAGGTGATGGTGAATTAATGATGACAACATTTTCAGTTTTGGCTGAATATTGTAAAAAAAAAAAAGAAAGAAAGATTTTTTTTTATTTATTTTTTTACAACATGACACTTATTACAGTGTCTTCAACACATTCACTACAGCAATAGGCCAACAAAGGCTAACTTTTACCTGTCTGTCAGTGATGAATTATATTAAAACAAAAAGTTCACCACTTACCTGATTTGAATAAAATGTTAAGGGTTCAGTCATCCTAAAAGATTTACTTATCATCTGTCACAATATTATTAAAATGTTATCATCAGCTGGGAAAGTGTATAATCCAAGTTTAAAAAGTCGACATGATGAAGTTCATCGTCCCATCTTGGAAGTGAGTTTTCTGCAGGTAAATGTTCACGCGAGTCTCTCTGGTCAGATGGACAGGAATAATCTGTCTGTCTCATAAACATTAAATATATAAAACCCGATTATCTAACACCGCTGTCCTCCGAAGGCCCGCTGTTTGTTTATCCCCCATATTAAACACCAGTGCGCGCGCGCCGCGCTCGCGTGCACGCGCCCACCGAAACGCGTTGTTGCTTTTTTAGTCACAACAAATAGCAAAACAAAACATGCGTGAAAGGTTCGGTTTTTGTTAACATTTAATATGGCGCCATTAAATATTAACTCACTTGTTGGATTACTTGCTATCATAATACATCCTAAAGTTATTAGCTAGGCCTACTTTTTAGAAAAAAATATTACGTCTTTTTTATAGGCTACAATGCGGGTGTTTATACACGGCATATAACACATGCATGTAAGAGCTTACATGATTTATTGCTTTAGTGAAATATGTAGATTGTGAGTCTGCAGCTCTTGATCCACAGATAATGAATATCAAGGCTTAACTGTAATCTCCGGTAGACAGATGATGCTGCTGAGCATGCTGGGACAGCTGAAGAGGGGCGACCCGCCTACTATAAACAGCAACTTGCTCTCAGGAGAGATTGGGTGAACAGTTGGTGTTTAGAAGAGTCTTTTCTCTTCTGTAATCAAGTTTGTTTGTCATGTTCTACCTGTTCTTAAACCAGAGGCTCTCGGGTTACGTGTAATTGGATGAACGGGGAAACAGGAGAACCTTATTAAGTGCTTTGACATCAGGGTCACATTACATTCAGCATTGTGCTCTTGCTTCCCTGGTGCTTTCTGAAAACTAAATAAACCCTCAAAATTATTCACATGGCTGTGTAAAACTCTGTCTTTAGTGTTTTTAGTGTGTGTGTGGTTGAATCGATGATGACACATTGTGATGCTGTTCTTGTTTACTGGTTCATGTCTGTTCCTCGGACACTGCAGATGATAGAATAGGCCTATTAATTATTAATTTAAAAAAAAAGTGTACTTATAGGTAACTATATAGTTATATAGCATGCAATATTCAATATGAGCCTATGTCTAGCCTAAATATGTATTAAGCTAAATACAAATGTGCAATATTAAAAAAACACATCACATGAATAGAAATGACAATAAATTGTATTTACAGTAAGTTTACCTCAGAACGTTCATTTTCAAAAGACAACAAAATTATGAATTTACTTAATTGGGTCAAAAAAGCAACTAATTGAATTTAATATAAATTTAAATCATGGGACATTTTCATTCGATTGCAAATAAAATGCATTTAAAATGTACACATTACATTGAGCTCAGTTGTTTTAAAGTGCACTGTATATTGTATAAAATAATATGCTTTATCTAATCAATAAAATTGTGGCAACATATTACAAGCAATATTATTAATTAAATTGTACAAATTAGAATTAATTAGAATATTAATTTGATTACTCAATTCTAATTTGTTCAATTTAATAAATAATATTGCCTGTAATCTGTTGCCACAATTTTATTGATTAGATAAAGCATATTTATTTTTATTTCCATTAAGGGTATTCTTTTTAAAAGTATGCAAAGTCCACTTTCCCTGTGATTCTGCTATGAAAAAAGGCTATACCTCTCAACAAGATGCATGATCTGAGCTAGTGTCTATGACTCTATATAAGCAACAATAGTGATAGTTTCTTTGGCAAGCATTACACAACGCTAAACCCCTCTGAAACATACAGTGAGATGTGTAAATCCGTAAGAGTCAATCCGTGTTCGACCCTGATCATCCAGTGTGAGTCCAGTCCAGGATTTGGGATGTTATAATTATTGTATAAACAGGGTGAAATTTCAGATAAAAGTGAAGAACTCGTGACTCGTGTATAAATGCAGCGTTTCCCTTACTGTATCTGATCTGACACGTACACATGACTTTTTCTGGTGTAACCTAATCAACTATATTCTGTCATATTCAATAATATAATTTTTACATCAATAAGACCAGTTAACTTTGGGTTACTTGACAAAACATTTTTATATAGTGAATGCAGTTCTCATTTTGCAACATCACTATCTCTACAATGTATTGCTTATTAATCACGTTTCTGATTTAGAGTATTATTGTAATGCCAGTCGATTTAATACAGTAATTATTTTCGTAAAACTTTATATTTTGAGTGTTTTTTTAAATTTATTTATTTATTTTAGTTGCGACATTCAACAACGCCCAAGCTGCGCCCAAGCCAACAATATCTTTGCTGAGGACTTTTATATGTTTGTTATTATAATGAATGGAATTTGATAACAAAAAATAGCAGATAATAAAAATAACAATCAGCTCTGCCCGTTTACCAAAAAAAAAAAAAAAAAAATGTGTGGTTTTGATTTTATGTAAGCATTGTCTTTAATCTCTCAGGATGTTCATCTGTGTGTCCACTAGGTGGAGCTTTCGGCTTTGGGATTTTTACCACAGTCAATTAGACCAACACACTCTGGTTGTTCTCACGCAAACAACTACTGCAATCATATAGCCTACTGTAGCTACATCAGCTGTGTACGGTTGTTGTACAGTCATCCAACAGATCTGTGCAAGTGACCTTTATTCACTGATAAACGTTACATTCGTGCTCCTGCCTGTATTTTGTTTTGTTTTCCTAACAGGATTCAATGTTGTGTCCGTTTGGCCCTCTAGCGGTTATAAAGCAGAACTGCATTTTGCGGAAGAACAGTATTTTGGTTGTGCTTCGGCTCTGCGTGACTGCGGATGAATGTTATCTTACTGCTCATAAAAATGTTCACGACTAGAGATAAAACCAGTTTAGATGAATATCAAGCCGACGTGCTGAAGATGTCACTGTAGATTTACTCATTAATTTTTATGGTAATTCCATGAAAACAAATTCCACAGCACTACACAAAGCAGCCGGATATTCTCTATTTACGTATATAAGAGACATGCACGGATGAGTGACAAATGTACAAATATCCCGCAAAAACCATCCCGTCGTCAGGTCTGAAATATAAACACTTAGCCTACTCATTGACTAATTTTGTTATGAAGTACAGTTGTATTTGCATAGAATTCATTTTGAACGCTATATTATATGCTTTCAAAATCTGAGGTAAATTATCCATTATTGCTTGTGGCACAGTGAGCTATTTTTAACTAAAAATAACTAATGTGTAGCTACTCATAAGTCATAACCAGAGTAATTTCTTCATTCTGTCAGCCGCGACGTCGCAGAAATAGGAACCGTTAAATAGAAACTTCGCGTCGCCGTCGCGTCTGGTTAGGACAAAAACTCTGATTAACATGGAAAAGATACCTTTTATCGCGTGTCGTTAGGACACGGTGTTAAACGTCGGTTACATGACGATCCCGGGCCGTTATACGCTTTACCTTTGACCTCGGTTAGGTGACGGGGTAGGTTTAGGTCTGGGGTAGGGTTAGGACCCGATAACGTCATCTAACCGACGTTTAAGGGTACCCTAAAAAGGCGGATGTTGACGTAGCCTATGGTCACAAGACGTCCCAAGACGTCAGTTATATGACGTCTTGGGATGAGGCTGTGTTTTTGTTCACTGTACGCCAGGCGTACAGTGAACAAAAACACAAGGACTGGAGATGAATTGTGAATACACAGAAAGTGTTTAAATACTGATATTCCCATACTTCTTTGTGTTATTTCACAGTTCTGACGACTTTATTATTTTTCTAAAATGTCAAATAATAGTAGGCCTAACAAAGAACAGATGTGTCCAAACATTTGACTGGCAAGTCACTGAACAGGCTTTTACTTTATTTGTATATTTGTAAGCATCATTTCACCTGACATTGAAATAATTGCATGCCAAATTACTTTTTGTTGACTATACATTCTTAAATGCCAAACTAAACTCTTTATAATGTGTGTTACAAGCCAACTCTGTATGAAGGGGTCGATTACAAGAATGTGATGATCCATGTCAGAACCAAGACGAGTGGATACAAAGCCTGTGTGCGTGTTGAACTGGATTTCTCTTGATAGCCGTAGTCTGTCCTGCAGGGGTTTTGGACTTCGTTAAGAGGGATGGGTTCATCGTCAGCTTGCACTCCGTTCAGCCTGTCTCGAACCTAATGAAACACAAGCGACTCTTTTACTTCCGTGAGCAGTAGATTGGGTATTATACTGAGAGTTGCTGTTGCTCGTACCGCCTCCACGTCTCTGAACACTCGTAACAGGTTTCGTCCCAGAGCATCTCGGACCTCTTCATCCGTCCAATTACGTCTGAGCAGTTCAGCCACCAGGTCCGGGTACTTGGACACGTCCTCGAGACCTTCTGGCACCCTGTGCAAAAACATTGCATTATTTATTAATGGTTATATATGCAGTCCTGTTTACTGTCCTATACAATTAACGGCAATTTTCTATTGGTGCTCTTCGTTTCGGCGTCACACTTGTTATCTTCCCGGTCAAAAGTGACTGGACACCTAAAAATTAAATTCCCTCCATCCCAGTAAAACCAATGCAATTTATTTTTGTTCTATAATATTTATTGTTTGTAATTTAGTATTTTGAGACAATTTGATTGAATTTATTAATATTTATGCAATATTTATGGTCTATTTTACCATGTAAAAATATAAATATTTTTCTATATATATATATTATTTAAAAAAAATTATTTAGTATTTTAGTTTAATATAGAGTCTAGGCCTTCAGTAAAAAAAATATTTTTTGAAGAAAATTAGCACCATATGGTTTGAGTATAGAGAAAAAGCGTAGAATCATGGTGTAACCACTAGATGGCATGTGCAGCTCTCTATGGAGAAGCATGTGAATTCCCAGCTGTTTATGAACACATTTATTTATTTATTTTTGGTGGTGGATTTGAATATATAGTTGAAACAATCTCAAAAACGATTTTTTATTTAAAAAAATGTAAAAAAATAATAATAATAAATAAATAAATAAATAAAAAAAATAAAAAATTGTGAATTTTTGTGTTTTTGTCAATTTCCCATTCGCTTCCTATGGGGGTCATTTTTGACCAAAGACCACAAGTGTGACTATTTTTTTTAAGACCACTCAGCCTGCTCAGATCATTTTTTTGTGTGTTCACATACATAATGCCAAAAACGTCACCAAGTTTCGTAACATTCCGATGAAGCTGTGATTTTTAAAAATTCAAAACATACTTTTTGTAATCAAAATTTATTGGTGTGTATGTGTATAAAAGTGTGTTCGTATCTGTGTGTGTGTGTGTGGGTTTGTCTGTTTTGCACTCTAGATGTTGTAGAGTGTCAACCCTTTCCTGTGGTGTACTTTTTTTTTTTTAGAATTGTGGCCGATTTGTAGATTGCATGTACAACAATTCAGAGAATTATTTTCGTCAATTTCCCATTCATTTCTTATGGGTCGGTCAAAAATGGTGTGACTACCAGTGTGACACCACAAGTGTGACTATTTTTTTTACGACCACTTAGCATACTCGGATCATGACCTCAATTTTTTTTCATTCACATACATAATGCCATAAAAGTCACCAAGTTTCGTAACATTCCAATGAAGCTGTGATTTTTAGAAATTCAAAACAGAAAATGTTTCGATTTTTCTGAGCGAAGAGCACCTGAGGGTTAAATGCAATAGCCTACGTCACGATTTTATCTTGGTCACGTTTCATGTTCATGTCTTGTTCCATGTTAGTCATGTGATTCCCTGTTTGTAATCTCTGTCGGTATGTGTCATGTGACGTTTTGTTTTGTTAAATTGGTAAATAAACTTCAGGGGATCACTACACATGCTTTACAAATGTGAAATGCACCATTATGTTTTCTACAGTTAAGTTGCATTACCATTAAATTAGAAATCAGGCATTCTTACCTTGGCACACCATCATAATCTCCTCCAAATCCAATGATACTGGCGTCAGCCATGGTCTTGATATGGTCAAAATGATCTGAATTTCACATATAAGTGGAGTCACATATTAAAGACGCCTTGTTTTTTAAAGTCCCCCTGTAGTCGATAATTTAACTCATCTTTGATCACTAAAATTACATATTTAAACATTTTTCCTTTAAAAAAATGTCTTTATGCCTTAAAATATCATGAATGTAACTCGACACCCTTGCCTCATTTAGTATACGCGGCCCATATGAATATGCAAATTAGCCCCGCCCCCACTCACTCGCTCACTCAGTGATCCACTGGTTGACGATCACACGTTGATCTAATTGGTTACAAGGTCGTTTGTGACGTCAGAAACACCAGCGATTTCAAAGCGTGTTTTCGAGACTGTCTTTGGTTCACTGAAAATACTCTGTCGACTTATGAACTTACACACGGTTTGTCTTAAAGCACATTAAAAACACCACACATAAACAACATTAAAAGCTGGATATTCACCACAGGGGGACTTTCAGGAGTGCTTTATGAAGGCAGACGCTGATGTTGCTTTAAAGTTACTCACCAGCCACATCCGAGAGTTTAGCAGTGTTTTGGCAGGTCACATAATTATTAAAAAAATTAACCATGACGATCCCCTTCTTTTTTTTCTGAAACAGAAGCATTTTGGAAAATTATACGACCAAATATGTCATTTGTGATGTGTGTGTGTGTGTGTGTGTGTGTAAGGCCATTTTGTATTTGGAAATGGAATGGTTTGCTAATTTTTCAGAGAAAATATTGTATTATTGTGTTTTTTCGAATATTATCTTTCATGCAGTGTGTAAAAGTTTTAAAGATCAAAGTGCACAACACAAATGAAGTTGTTGTTGCCTTAAACAAAGAATCGATTCTGAACTGCCTCAAATTTGCATAACGCCAGCCTATGATCTTGATTGGCTGTCCTTGAACAGCGTCTCTTAGCTCCGCCCTCAAAAACTGCCATTGTATCTGAGACTACACTCTTAGAAGAAAAGGTTCTAAATAGAACCTTAAAAGGTTCTTATCAGCGCTACGTATTTGGAACCCCTAAAAGGTTCTTAATCACTCTTAAAAAAGGGTTCCTCTGGGTTCTGTATAGAACCCTGGGGTTCCATACTTGGCCAATAGAACCTTTTACCCAAAAAAAAATGGTTCTATATAGAACCATTTTGGAGTTCTATAATATGAAGCGGGGAATGGAACAATTTCTGGTTCTAAATAGAACCATTTCTTTTATTTATTTGGTTTGTGTTGTTCATGCGAGCGGCAACATTGTAATCTGAAAAATGAAGCCTACCAGGAAGTGCGAAAAACTGCAATTCATCTAAAATCCGCTAGAGGCCGGTCCCAAAAGGGAGCAAATATCCATAGGCCCCAATGTTAAAATGTCAGTTTTTTCACTGCATAAATTAATTTGTTTACAGGTTGGTCCCATGGACTTTTAGGCTCCTAGTGCCTTACAACTGTGAGGGGGGTGAATTTTTTTCTAACTCGTTAGTTTAGATCGTATTTAGAAAATGTATGACAAATGAGGGCGGTTAACTTTGATTGACAGCTGATAACGGGCTGCGCCGAGTGGAATTTGACGTCTTGGCCATGATCTGACACGACACATCATACCACCTATGTATCCTCTCTGAACATTTGTATTTTGTATTTCCCAAGAGTTTCCAGTATGGCGCCACCCATACGTATGGAAGTTTGTTTCCGCCACTGAATAAAAAAATAAAATAAATCATTCTGAATTTTTTTCTCACAATTGTGAGATAAAAAGTCAGAATTGCATGATATAAAGTCAGAAATCCATGATGTAAAGTCAGAATTGTGAGATATAAAGTCAGAATTGGGTGATATAGTTGCAATTCTGAGAAAAAAAGACAGAAGTGCGACTTTTTATCTCACAATTCTGACTTTTTTTCTCACAATTGTGAGTTTACATCTTGCAATTCTGACTTTATAACACAATTGCGAGTTTATATGTCGAATATAAACTTGCAATTGCGACTTGTCAGAGAGACTTTAACTTTTTTCCCACTCAGAATAGTTTAAATCTCATAATTCTGACTTCATATCATGCATTTCTGACTATATAACCCGCAATTGCGACTTTATATAGCAATTCTAACTTTATAACACGCAATTGCGACTTTATATCATTCAATTCTGACTTAATAACACGCAATTGCGACTTTTTATCACACAATTATGACTTTATATCCCGCAATTCTGACTTTCCATCTCGCAATTCTGAGAAATAATGAGAATTACAAGAAGTAAACTCGCAATTGTGAGAAAAAAGTCAGAATTGTGGGATTAAAAAGTTGCAATTACCTTTTATATTTTTCATTGCATGGCGGAAACAATCTTCCATAAGTCTCAGACTAAACCTGATACTGTAAAACAGATAATGTTCATATCACCGTGTATCAAGATCCAGAGCTGACATTCAGATATGGTAAAGGATGTAATATAGCTGTATATTAATAATAAGTCAATCAGTATGATGTTAAACAACAGAACAATCCATTGAACGCATGCTCTTTCCCTCACAGCCTCTGTCCAAAATGTAATATGGTATCACACTGACTAATATCTATGGCCGAATCACAGTCGCGCTGATATTAAATACAACACTAGTTTTACACATGCGGTGTTGCTTAATTAAACCATCATCTCTGATCGGAATGAATCTTTATGTTTATATTTGTTGCTATCGTATTCTCTTTGAAGTTTGTCCTGCCCTTATCTTTTATAACACATTTTTATATCAGTAATATATCACTTTCTTTCTTTTTTATGAGTATGATAGTGTGAGTTCTTCATTGTCTTTTAGGGCAATCAGCTCTGTTATGTAACAGCTTGAGGTTGTAAACACACCACTTCCAGAAGCACGTCATCGGGAACGTTTCTCTTGTTTTCGCAGATGCTGTAGGCAGAAGAGTGGCTGAAGATAACGGGAGCTTCGGAGATCTCCAGAACCTGCTTCATCACCGCCTCGGACACATGAGACAGGTCGATCAGCATCCCGATGCGGTTCATTTCCCGGATCACTCGCTGAGAGAAAACAATTGGTCAAAAAATTGAATTCTTCACCATAAGACAGCAATAGTGAGTCAAGGTTTCTCTAAAAAAGTCCAGCAAGTCTATTTTAAAGGGATAGTTCACCCATAATTGAAAATTAGCCCATGATTTACTCAACCATCTTTGAGACGAATATAATTTCATATAAATATATATATATATATACTATACTATATATACTATACTATTCATATATATATTCATATATATTTCATTATATTAAAAAATGCCCTGGCTCTTCCAAGCTTTATAATGGCAGTGAATGTTTCTGTTTTGAAGTCCATAAAAGCGCATCTATCCATGATAAAACCCCATATATCCATCATAAAAGTGCATCTATCCAGCATGAAAGTGCTTCTATCATGTTAAAAGTGCATCTATCCATGATAAAAGTGCATCTATCAATGATAAAAGTGCATATCCATCATAAAAGTGCATCTATCCATGATAAAAGTGCATATATCCATGATAAAAGTGCATTTGTCCATCATAGCAGTGCGTCTATCCAGCATCAAAGTGCTTCTATTATCTTAAAAGTGCATCTATCCATGATAAAATTGCATCTATTCATGATAAAAGTGCATCTATCCATCATAGAAGTGCATCTATCCATCATAAAAGTGCATTTATTCAAGATAAAAGTGCATCTATTCATCATAAAAGTGCATCTATCCATCATTAAAGTGCATCTATCCATGATAAAAGTGCATTTATCCATCATAAAAGTGCATGGATAAGTTTTCAACTTAAGTTGGTCCAAACTATGTTTCGAAAACCTTCAGTTTAGATAGTTTCGTACCAGTCGATGAAGTAAAAAATAAAAATAAATAAAAAAAAACTTAAAATTTCTCAGTCAAAAATGACCGAAGAGCACCAATATGAGCTGGCAGTAAAAAATTACAGTATTTATTTTTTTAAATTGGTCCAAAGTATTATTTTGTTTCCAAAACCTTTATCTTTAGAAAGTTTCATACCATTACGAAGTTAAAAATTCAAAACAAAACAAGAACGTTACATTTTTTTTAGTCAAAATGTACAGAAGAGCACCAGTATAAATTGGCAGTAATTTTTTGGGAGTGTTTTTTTCTAACCTTGCCGAAATCAGATAAACCATTGTGCTGTACAGGCTCAGACTCGGTGTCCACCAGCCAGTTGTCTGCCCTAGAAGGAAATGAGACCAAAATACAGTAAAGGAAACAAGTCTTCATGTGAAAGCAGATGTGCACGTGCACTGATGTGGCTTTCTTTGGAAACCTGATGGTTTATTTGCAACCCACACCTTTTTCCTAAATGAATTATGTAAAGAATGGAGATGCTAACAGATGAAGAACAAGTCTGGAATTTCCCATGAATTTTACACGCACAACAAAAAAACTGTTGTGGGTGTGTTACATAAAGGGACGCTCCTCTGGCACATCTTTCAATTTAGGTGTACTTCATTCCAAACTAATGAAATCATCACTAAATTGACAGTGTTATTTCTCACAGGGTCAACTAGTATGGACATTTCTGAAGTAAATGCACGGAGTCATCTCAGGTTATCTTTTTATATCAAGTACTTAAAGGATTAGTTCACCCAAACAATTAAATTACCCCATGATTTAGTCATATAAGTGTATATAACATTCTTCTTTCAGACGAATGCAATCAGAGTTATATTAAAAAAAATGTCCAGGCTCTTCCAAGCTTTCTAATGGCAGTGAATGGCTTTTTCTGTTTTGGAGTTCATAAAAACACATCTATCGATGATGAAAGTGCATCTATCCATGATAAAAGTGCATCTATCATCATAACAGTGCATCTATCCATCATAAAAGTGAATCTATCCATGATAAAAGTGAATCTATCCATAATAACAGTGCATCTATACATGATAAAAGTGCATATCCATGATAAAAGTGCATCTATCCATCATAAAAGTGCATCTATCCATCATAAAAGTCTATCCAAGATAAAATGCATCTATCCATGATAAAAGTGCATCTATCATCATAAAAGTGCATCTATCCATCATAAAAGTGCATCAATCCATGATAAAAGTGCATATCCATCATAAAAGTGCATATATCCATGATAAAAGTGCATCTATCCATGATAAAAGTGCATCTATCATCATAAAAGTGCATCTATCCATCATTATAGTGCATCTATCATCATAAAAGTGCATCTATCCTTCATAAAAGTGCATCTATCCATGATAAAAGTGCATATCCATCATAAAAGTGCATCTATCCATCATAAAAGTGCATCTATCCATCATAAAAGTGCATCTATCCATCATAAAAGTGCATCTATCCATGATAAAAGTGCATCTATCCATCATAAAAGTGCATCTATCATGATAAAAGTTCATCTATCCATGATAAAAGTGCATATCCATCATAAAAGTGCATCTATCATGATAAAAGTGCATCTATCCATCATAAAAGTGCATCTATCATGATAAAAGTGCATCTATCCATCATAAAAGTGCATCTATCCATCATAAAAGTGCATCTATCCATGATAAAAGTGCATCTATCCATCATAAAAGTGCATCTATCATGATAAAAGTTCATCTATCCATGATAAAAGTGCATCTATCCATGATAAAAGTGCATCTATCCATCATAAAAGTTCATCTATCCATGATAAAAGTGCATCTATCATCATAAAAGTTCATCTATCCATCATAAAAGTGCATCTATCATGATAAAAGTTCATCTATTCATCATAAAAGTGCATCTATCCATCATAAAAGTGTTTGTCTGAAAGAAGAATGTGATATACTCCTATAGGATGAGTAAACCACAGGTAATTTTAGTTTTGGGGTGAACTATGCTAAGAGGTAAATCCTCGGCTGAGAGCATCCACTCACCAGGGTGTGTTACAGCTGTGTGTGAGTGTGAGATAGCGGACGCCCAGCTGGTACATGGTGCGCAGCGTCCCTAAACTGCTGTCGATCGAATGTCCTCCTTCCACTCCAATCAAACTGGCGGTTTTGTTTTTCTGAAAGGCTTCCATTATATCTAGAACAACAATTTCGTTTTAGCAGTTACAGTTTTAGATACAATAATGGATTTCACAATGGATGTTTAAATAAAGATTGCAATCTCTTAAGGATTAATCGTGCGGATCTAACATACATTATGTAACGAAGACACTGTTACAGTTTTTTCCAATTGCTAACACACAATTTTGCAAACTAGGTTTTATCAAAATACTTAACACAATTCACAAAACCACACACCCAAACTGCAAAATATTGCAAAATGAAGCACTGCAACCGATAGCATTATCAAAATCAAACTTTTGCATGAACTGGCACACACTTCGTTCATATTACCAGATTTTTGCCTAAACAACTACACACTGTTGGGCATAATGAAAAGCACTCATATCTTTAGTATATGCTTTGCCATAATACTAAAATATGCATCAGATTGTTCACATGCACAGAAATATTTGCAGACACACACATGCTGTTGAAACTTCATTTTACAGTAATGTATTTCTCCAGTACCGTAAACAAGTCAGTGCAACATATGCACAGCAGAAATATTTACATGGGACAAAAAACAGTAAACTGAAAAAGAAACTACCAGAAAATATAATACAGTAAAAAAAACGTGGCAAGAAAAACAATTTTTTTATAGTTTTATAGTTTTTTTTAGTGCTTACATCCTGATTGAAGCGTTAACAATTAACCATTGAGGTGTTTGGCCAGATGGCACATGTATTGGCCAATAAGCTCATGTAGTGTCGTTTTGAATGGTAGTGTTTAGAAATGGCAAACATGTGACTTTATGTCAGATTGTTGTGTCTTATGCAGAGAACTGTGTTCAGTGCATTTATGCAAAATGTGTGTAAAGCAGAAAATGTGTTTAGACTTTTGGAAACTTGAGAAGAAGTTTTGTGTGTCCGTTAAAGAAATGTCATTTTAGTGTGAAAAAACTGTAAATAAAGTGTTTCCATCACTTCTAACTGGCCGAAATCACAAGAGATTTAGATTACAGATTTTTCCACAAGTAATTTGAGGTGTCATCATCATTGTTGAATGAAAGCTGGTAATTATAGGAACTGAAAACATCATTGTACTCCAATTTGAAGTTGATTTGATTCACCTATTACAAGGATTTGTCTTTGTCCTTACTGCTCCTTCACTGTTTTACCTTGACTGCTAGCAGCAAACTGGAAAACATCTGGGTATTTCTGACACATCATGTGAATGACATCGATCTGCTCCAGGGTCTGTCTGACTGCGTCTTTGTACTGGGTGTCACATGGTACATAAGCGGCCCAGAACTGCAAGAGAAATGCAAACATAACCACACACAGTACGGTACTGACTGCCGACTATGGTGTGTGTGTGTGTGTGTGTGTGTGTGTGTGTGTGTACCTGTGCTGAGAGGCGCCCCGCTTTGATTTTTGGGATGTTGGTGTGTGTGGTGTTCAGGTCGTACAAGTCCACAGTGCTGAGCCGATTATTAAACATGTTCCTCATTTGCCAGGGCAGGTCATTGTGCCTGTTTTATAAGAGATAACAAATCATTTTTAAACAGAATCGTAGAAAATAAAAAAAAGAGAACATTGGAAATTACACTTCCGATTTCTTCCTTCCTCTTTGGTGACTCTATTTGTTCCAGATTGTTTGTAAAATGAACGATGTTCACATGCACTAATTATCATCGACCTAAATTAATCCTAAAGATAAGAGCTAAACTCTAAATTCTAGATAGATAGATAGATAGATAGATAGATAGATAGATAGATAGATAGATAGATAGATAGATAGATAGATAGATAGATAGATAGATAGACGGAGAGACGGAGAGACAGACAGATAGATAGATTGATAGATGGATAGACAGACAGACGGACAGACACACAGACAGACAGACGGAGAGACAGACAGACAGAAAGATAGATAGATGGAGAGACAGACAGACAGATAGATAGATAGACAGACAGACAAACAGACAGATAGATAGACAGACGGAGAGACAGACACACAGACAGATAGATAGATAGATAGATAGAGAGACAGACAGATGAACAGACAGACACACAGACAGATAGATAGATAGATAGATAGAGAGACAGACAGATGAACAGACAGACACACAGACAGACAGATAGACAGACAGACAGATGAACAGACAGATAGATAGATAGACAGACAGACAGACAGACAGATATATAGATTGATAGATAGATAGACAGACAGACAGACAGATATATAGATTAATAGATAGATAGACAGACAGACGGAGAGACAGACAGACAGATAGATAGACAGACAGACAAACAGACAGACACACAGACAGATAGATAGATAGATAGATAGATAGATAGATAGATAGATAGACAGACAGACAGACAGAGAGACAGACAGATGAACAGACAGACACACAGACATACAGATAGATAGACAGACAGACAGACGAACAGACAGACACACAGACAGATAGACAGACAGACAGACAGACAGACAGACAGATAGACAGACAGACAGATGAACAGACAGATAGATAGACAGATAGATAGATAGACAGACAGAAGAATAGACAGACAGACAGACAGACAGATAGATAGATAGATAGATAGATAGATAGATAGATAGATAGATAGATAGATAGATAGATAGATAGATAGATAGATAGATAGATAGATAGATAGATAGATAGATAGATAGACAGACAGACAGACAGATAGATAGATAGATAGACAGTCTTACCCATCTATAAGTGGGGTATCGTTCATCAGCCTCAGTGCGCGATCCTTATATTCCTCTGCCATAGAGTTGACAGCAAAAGCCCAGAGAACTAAACACACAGTTTTAACCCGTTCCATCATCACCACACTGTTGTTTACTCCCTCGATGACCCTTAATCACGGATTGCTCCTCAAATAACCCTGTTTACCTCACCTCTGCTTATGTAGCAATACTTCTATCTTCTCTCTGTGTGTCTCTAAGACTAAAACACCCGTGTCATAGATCATCATGATGGAGAACTGAATGTGAGTTAATGTATAATTTTGGGTTGTAAAATTGTCCAATAACAGGGTCAGCTGTACCATAAAATATTTTTTTTTATTCACTTTTAGCAAAGTGACACAAGTGACTGTGTAAAAGTGTAAGTGAGTGTTTTTGCATGTTCTTGTTTAAAGTCCATCTTTGTGTTCTCTGACCATTGACCTCAGAGGAGTTCAACATAGCTTCATTCTTTAGGAAGGGGTTAATTATTCTCGTGGAATAAATGTGTACACGGAAAAATAAAATAAAAAACCATTAGGTACATTTTACCTCAGTTTTATTTTGCACATTTTTGCACACAGATATTAAAAGTAAACTGCACATATAGAATTAAGTACAATCTACTTAACTAATTTATGTAAAGTTAACAAAGAAAGTGAGTAACTTGGCCTGTTAAAGATTGTTGACTAATTTCTACACTGTAAACAAATATTGTTGGTGTAACTTAAAAAATTAAGTAACCTGGTTGCCTTAAAATTTTAAGTTGATTGAAATGGAAAAAAATGTGAGTTAATACAATGGAGATTGATTTAATCATCAGAAACTCAAAATAATAAGTTATCTGAACTAAATCAATTATTTAAGTTGATTTGACAAAAGAAAAATTGTTGAGATAACAAATCTTACTTTGCAATACTCTGTTTCTACATTTTACTCAAACAATTAAGCCATGCTTACAACTTGTATGTTTTATTTTGAAGATCTTAGATAAGGCTGGTTCTACAGAAATATTATCATAGGATTCAATAGATAATACTAGAAGGATCTTTGTAAACATCTGTGTTTTTTGTTTGTGGGACAGCAGTTTGCACCAATTCTATCGAATGGCCCACCCATCAACAAAACCATACAGTCATAATCAAGTGGTCAGATATTTTTATCCAAAGCAACTTACTCAAGGCCATGATGGTCATGACTCATGTTTGCTTCTTGTGGCGGTAAACCAGCAACCCTCCATTTAAAGCCCTGAGCTTCAGCCACGACTAACTGAACAACATACGTTTCATAACCAGTGTTGTGCAAGTTACTTCCAAACTGTAATACATTAGGTATTACTTGTTACTGTTATTTAAAAGTAATTCATTACCTTACAATATTACTGTCTCAGAATTGTAATGCGTTACATTACTCATGTATTACTTTTGAGTAGAGCCCGACCGATAAAGGATTTTGAAGGCCGATGCCGATACAAATATTTTGGGGTTTTAAAATCCGATATATCGGCCGATATTTTATTTATTTATTTATTTTTTTAAACTGAAGATGATTAGTCACAAATTTTGTCATGCTTATTTGAGTTAAGAGAACTAATGCAGATGTTCTTTTAATTGTTATTCAAGCAATGTATGTCTCGTGACCAACTCAACGAGTGTTGCCAACAGGGACGCTGTAGAGTGCCCTCTGGTGGACAAACTATACAACTCCAACACTCATGACATGGTTCAAGCGTGTTTCGTCCGTTTTTATTTTATTTTTGAAATATTCATTTATCGGCCATTATAACTGCCGATACCGATAGTTTGGAAAATGCCTAATATCGGCCGATAATATCGGTCTGCCGATATATCGGACTGGCTCTACTTTTGAGTTACTTTCACCAAAATAACTAAGTAGAACTTAACTTTTGGGCTGTAACGATATGCAATATGAAACCGAAATCACGATTCGCCAGATCCACGAACCTACAGAATCGCGACACACCTCTTCCAACTCCAGCGTTATTCTCATTACCGTCCAGATCCAATGCTGCCTTATCTTTAAATTAGGCTATTATTATTATTTGAAGTTAACATTATAAAATACGTAGACCTACACCACAAAACTAGTTAAGGATAAATTATTTAAAATTGGGGAAGTCCAGCATTATGGACATGACATTTGCAGTCAAAACTTGAAATAAAAATTCTCAGAAAATTCATGTATTGAAACGTATATAGGCTACTTCCTTAAAGGACTCCAGACATTAGACAAATATCAGTCTATGTTTTATTTTTAATATTAGGGAAAAGACACACATTCATGCGTGACAAAAAAATAGGAGGCAAAATATATTTTTTGTAATTCTGTTAATTACACTGCGCAAATCGGATGAGGAAGGGTTGGCTCTCCAGTCTCCATAGAACTTAAAATATTCATTTTATTTTAGTTTTCGTGTTCGCATTTATGAGGAAAAAACAATGTTACAGACGCGACCGCTCTGAACTGGCACTAAAAGACTGCTTTAAAACTTTCACATAGTCTGTTGCCTTTGTAATACTGTAATACAAGCCTCACTGAACATGTAACGAGTAAAATATTACTGAAAATTGATTAGTAATGCCTTAAAAAGTAATATGTTACTGTAATATATTACTTTTGTAATGCGTTACTCCCAACACTAACATATTTCTACTCATTCAAAACTATCCGCATTTACAAGAAAAGCTTATGAGAGACCTTTTTTTTCACATTTTTATTACTTTTCCCTCTCACTGCATTTTACCTTTACTTGTTAAATGACTAATGCGAAACCAAAAAGTGGTGATTATAGAATTAAAAACATGCTATATCTTGAATTTTAAATGGTTATTATTCTTCCATAAAACGTCTGGACCATCATCACACATTGCCTAAAACTGACCGGCTGATGAATCAAAGGCAGCAAAACTGATCCTTTATTTTAGGTTTTTCCTTTTTTTTTTCTCTCCCTGTTGTCTCAAACTACTCACCAAACTTATAATAAAAGATCAGACCAATTTGAACATTTAAACCTTTGTTATCTATTATGTGATCGCTTTACAACATGCAATTCACTTAAGAAGGCAGTGCAAAATAATAAAAAAATATTCATTTATGTTTGAGAGGAATGAATGTATAACCTGATCACTCTTCTACACTAAAGCTTGGTGTTTTGTGTTTACGCCAATGCTGTGGTTTCCTTTACGGGCCGTGCTAGGCTATATTAAGCTGCACACATCGGTTAGTGCTTCTTGTTCCACAGAAATTACCCAATTTGTCAACATCACAGAAATTACAACTTGTCCGAGGAACTTTTGTTTCCACCGTGGTCTAAAGTACGTTGAAGATTAGGCAAATTAGTCCGTTGACGTAGGACTGCGCGGAACTTTACAGTTCCCGCTGGATTTCGTCCTCCTTATTGGTTTAATAAAGCTTCAACCTCGTCCTCGTCCCTCCGGCTCCACCAGAGACCATGATCCTCACGGCTCCCTCGACTTTATATCTCGCAATTCTGACTTTATATCTCGCAATTCTGACTTTATAACACGCAATTGCTAGTTTATATCTCACAATTCTGACTTTATATCTCGCAATTCTGACTTTATATCTCACAATTCTGACTTTATATCATGCAATTCTGACTTTATAACACGCAATTGCTAGTTTATATCTCACAATTCTGACTTTATATCTCGCAATTCTGACTTTATATCTCGCAATTCTGACTTTATATCTCGCAATTCTGACTTTATATCTCGCAATTCTGACTTTATATCTCGCATTTCTGACTTTATATCTCGCAATTCTGACTTTATATCTCGCAATTCTGACTTTATATCTCGCAATTCTGACTTTATATCTCGCAATTCTGACTTTATATCTCGCAATTCTGACTTTATATCTCACAATTCTGACTTTATATCTCGCAATTCTGACTTTATATCTCGCAATTCTGACTTTATATCTCGCAATTCTGACTTTATATCTCGCAATTCTGACTTTATATCTCGCAATTCTGACTTTATATCTCGCAATTCTGACTTTATATCTCGCAATTCTGACTTTATATCTCGCAATTCTGACTTTATAACTCACAATTCTGACTTTATATCTCGCAATTCTGACTTTATATCTCGCAATTCTGACTTTATATCTCGCAATTCTGACTTTATATCTCGCATTTCTGACTTTATATCTCGCAATTCTGACTTTATATCTCGCAATTCTGACTTTATATCTCGCAATTCTGACTTTATATCTCGCAATTCTGACTTTATATCTCGTAATTCTGACTTTATATCTCGCAATTCTGACTTTATATCTCGCAATTCTGACTTTATATCTCGCAATTCTGACTTTATATCTCGCAATTCTGACTTTATATCTCACAATTCTGACTTTATATCTCACAATTCTGATTTTATATCTCGCAATTCTGACTTTATATCTCGCAATTCTGACTTTATATCTCGCAATTCTGACTTTATATCTCGCAATTCTGACTTTATATCTCGCAATTCTGACTTTATATCTCGCAATTCTGACTTTATATCTCGCAATTCTGACTTTATATCTCGCAATTCTGATTTTATATCTCGCAATTCTGACTTTATATCTCACAATTGCGTGTTAAAAAAAGAATCACGAGATATAAAGTCAGAATTGTGAGAAAAAAAGTCAGAGTTGCGAGATGTAAACTCGCAATTGTGAAATTCAGATAAAACTTTTTTTTTAGTATTCTGTGGCGGAAACAAGCTTCTATAGTTTTTAGTACATCATTGTTGTGTAAACATATAAACCATCACATGTTCACACTTCAGCTCGCTGTCACCATATATTTAACTTCCTCTTTGTTTGCAGTTCATTATCTTTATTCATTATCATTATCATTATTGTTGCCATTTTCCTTTGGATTATCTGTGTATTCTTGAGAACTGTCACTGAATAAAATGATCACTGATGAACTTTAAACTGTCAAATATGAAGGGAAACCAAGCTACCAACATTAATGTCCTACCATATGATGATCTCATTAATAAAGTTTTGTAAAGATAAAAGGCATCTCAACTCAACATCGCCCTTTAGGTTTTACCTGGTATTTTGACAGTAACCGGTTTCTCAGGTAGTTTCTGTATGTACTTCCCCTTCTCACAAGGTTTTTTTTTTTTTTGTTCCGTTTTCTCTTCCTTTATAAGCCGACAGTATGACCGTGTTGTCAGACTCTCTTCTATATTTCTTCCTCAGACATTTATTCACACACGTACAGACATGGCTCGACTAGATGTCACCGAAACCTTTCACGGCGTCATGTTCCCTGGGCACATGCATACACAAGACTCACTGAATTACGCCACCGACTTCAATTTCCAGGACACAGACACTGTGATTGCCACTTACCCAAAATCAGGTAATAATGCATTTTCTTTATTCATCTTTATAATTTATCTCATTTTTGTTCTAGCGGTGGGTGATATGATCATTTTTATTTCACGATATCAGGATATTGATATGCATTTCATGATATTTTGTGTTATTTTATCTCATTTCTGTTATTAAAAATAGGAAAAAAGAAGCCAATTACAAATGATAGGACAAATACAATATAACAAAAACCTGAATTAATGTCGATCTAGACAGATCATGTCTATATTGGGTCTGTCGGAAATTCCGGACATCTATTCGACGTCCAAACTAGGTCCACTTTTTGGACGTCCAAACATGACCCAACTTAGGCGTCAAATTGATGTTCAACATTTCAGACTGGGTAATTTTTTGGACGTCTATGACCGGTGCAGGAAATTTCCATCATTAATACACTCTAAAAAATGCTGGGTTGTTTTGACCCAATTTTTGGTAAAATATGGACAAACCCAGCCATTGGGTTAAAAATGTAATTTAAAAATGTAACCCAATGGCTGGGTTTGTCCATATTTTACCCAAAATTGGGTTAAAACAACCCAGCATTTTTTAGAGTGTATGCAATATTCTTTTATTTTTGTAATATATATATATATATATTCAAATATCAACATTGTTATCAGCATAAATACATATGAATACATTTTTAGCTCGAAAAGTAGTGCGTTGGCGCTAGCAACACCAAGATCATGGGTTCGTTTTCCAGGGAAAGCAAGAACTGATAGGAATGTAAATTTGGAAAGCAATGTAAGTCACTTTGCCGAATGCATAAATGTTACAGAAAACATGACCTCCACCCACAGTTATAGAAGTTATAAAAACTAAATTTGATGTTGAAAAGACGTCAACAAACGACCACATTTGGACTATAAAATTACCAACCTGATCTCACGACCAAATCGTACGAATTCGACGAATGATTAAAAAGTGGCTAATTCGTAACAATTCATACGACCTCACTCGTACGAATTTTGCTAAATCGTACATATTTTACGAATTGGCCAATTCGTATGAATTCGTACGAATGACCTACCCCTTACCCCGCCCCTAAACCGACCCATCACGTGGGTTTAGACAAATCGTACGAGTGAGGTCGCACGAATTAGACACTTTTTAATCGTTCGTCGAATTCGTACGAATTGGTCGTGAGATAGCGTAGAAATTACCCTTACACGGAGGTCCCACGAAGTCGCATATGGCATTACACTCTAAACAATGCTGGGTTGTTTTAACTCAAATTTGGGTCAAATATGGACTAACCCAAATGTTGGGTTAAAAATGTCATTTTAAAATTTTAACTTCAACTTTCACTTTCAATTGTATAATTACATTTTTAACCCAGCATTTGGGTTTGTCCATATTTGACCCAAATTTGGGTTGAAACAACCCAGCATTTTTAGAGCGTACAAAACAACCCTTGAAATATCTCACTTTGCATGTAATAAGTCTATATAATATATGAGTTTCACCTTTTAAGTTGAATTACTGAAATAAATGAACTTTTGCAGGATATTCTAATTTTTCCAACATCTTTATTTTCTCATTCATGCGTTTCACCAGTCTAGAGTGTCAACAGTGCTATATATATATATATATATAAGTCTCTAACGATTTTATATGGTGGTTACAATATGTCGTCATACCTACCTATCTTTTTTTCACAGTGAAGATTATTAATCATGTCTTTCTCTTGGCTCATAGGAACCACATGGATGCAGGAAATCCTCACTTTAGTTTTGAGTAAAGGGGACCCAACTACAGCCCAAACTCGGCCCAACTGGGCCCGTGCCCCGTGGCTTGAGCAGTACTACTGTCCTGAAGTCCTGAAATACTCCAGCGGGCCCCGCATCATCACCACACATCTGCCCTATCACCTGCTGGCCCCGGCCCTCAAACAATCCAAAGCAAAGGTGAGTGATGGATGCGACACACACTGGACTCCATGTTAGAGAAAATTGGGTTACACTTTATTTTAAGGTGTCATTGTTACGGTGTCGTTATTTATTTAAGTACTGAGTTATGATACTTACTCTAGGGTTAGGGTTTGGTTGAGGGTTATTGAGGACATATGTGGACACTGTAAAATAAAGTGTTATGGAAAATAGTGTTTCGCATGTGTACTTCTGAATCTGAATCTGCCATTTCTGTGTTTTTTTTTCTCACACAACCTCAGTATAAATTCCACAAGCAAATTACCAAGTGTTTTTGCGTGCATATTACACGCCAAAACTATTTTTGGCGTATAAATGGCAGGAGAAAATAAATTTGTGGTATAGAGACTCACTTTCGCTTAGTCTGCCATTTAAAGCATCAGGTGTCTGTCAGGTAAGAAACTAGTCAAAATGATCCTCTCGCTTATGTGGATTTATCATACACCGCCAATTCTATTAACTCATGTGAAGTTTATAATTCATTAAAAGACATACAACATACGTTATGCATGTAAACATGCATGTGAACATCTGTAAAGCCAAAAAACAAGCGTAATATCCGCACATTGATGTGTACACACTGATAATAAACCTTCACTGATGTGATAACCTTAAAGCAGTAGTTCACTTTTGAAAAAACTTTTGCTGATAATTTACTCGCCCCCATGATGTCATCCAAGATGTCCATGTCTTTCTTTCTTCAGTCGAAAAGAAATTAAGGTTTTTGATGAAAACATTCCAGGATTTTCTCCATATAATGGACTTCAATGGGAACCAAACGGTTCAAGGTCCAAAAGACAGTTTCAGTGCAAACCGTTGAAAGGGCTTTAAACGATTCCAGATGATGAATAAGGGTCTTATCAAGCGAAACGATCGCTCATTTAATAAATAAATAACAAAGTTTAAATTTTATAAGCTAAAAAGCTCTCCTTGCTCTGTTCTGATGCGCGTTCGTGACGCTCCTGTTCAAACACGTTCATCAAAATGAATGAATCTTTTTCCGAGTCAATTCGTTCGTTTAATTCGTTGAATGAACCAAATGACTCGGAAAAAGATTTGTTCATTTTGATGATAATGAAAACTTAAAAATGAAATAGCAAAAAATAGAATAGGGGCAGAAAAAAAGTTGGGGTTTTTTGCCCATATTCAAAAAAACACACGGATATGTTAGTGTCACGAATCACTTCAAGGACTCTTATTTCAATATTCAGTTTTCTTGCCGTTTCTGTTTTTCACCTCCTATATTTAGTTCCTCTTTGCTTGTTTTTCTATTGTGTCTCTTTGATGATTATCGATTACCTGCACCTGTGTCTTGTGCTTCCGGTTCCCTTCGCTAAACTAGTCCCGTCACACTTGCTTTGTTGAATTTGCTCGCAAGTGACAAATATTCACAAATACAATATAACAAAAATATGAATTAAAGGATTAGTTCACTTTTCAAAAAACTTTTGCTGATAATTTACTCGCCCCCATGATGTCATCCAAGATGTCCATGTCTTTCTTTCTTCAGTCGAAAAGAAATTAAGGTTTTTGATGAAAACATTCCAGGATTTTTCTCCATATAATGGACTTCAATGGGAACCAAACTGTTCAAGGTCCAATGCAAACTGTTCAAAGGGCTTTAAACGATTCCAGACGATGAATAAGGGTCTTATCAAGCGAAACGATCGCTCATTTAATTAAAAAATAACAAAGTTTAAGTTTTATAAGATCAAACGCTCGCCTTGCTCTGTTCTGTGATGCGCGTTCGTGACTCTCCTGTTCAAAGAATCAAGAATCTTTTTCAGAATCAATTTGTTCGTTTCTTTCGCCGAATGAACCAAATGACTCAGGAAAAATATTTGTTCATTTTGATGAACGAGTTCAAACAGAAGTATGTTACAGAACAGAGCAAGGCGAGCATTTGAGCTTATAAAACTTAAACTTTGTTATTTATTCATAAAACGAGCGATCGTTTCGCTTGATAAGACCCTTATTCATCGTCTGGAATCGTTTAAAGCCCTTTGAACAAGTTTGCAGTTTGTACTTAAAGTTTCTTTTGGATCTTGAAGCGTTTGGTTCCCATTGAAGTCCATTATATGGAGAAAAATCCTGGAATGTTTTCATCAAAAACCTTAATTTCTTTTCGACTGAAGAAAGAAAGACATGGACATCTTGGATGACATCATGGGGGTGAGTAAATTATCAGCAAAAGTTTTTTCAAAAGTGAACTACTCCTTTAAATAATAAAAGTTTTTCAGGCATAATTGGTTTATTTAACATATAGTAAGAATTAGTTCAGAAATTCAACAGTCAAAATGTAAAAATCATTGTATGAATTGAACATAAATGTGTTCTTATTAAAGTCCCTATGAAATCAAAATTGACCATACTTACTTTGTTTGCCTAAATTGATCGTTTTGTGGTGAACAATTCATGCAAGTCAATCCACACAAAAAAAATTTTTGGCTTCGTAATCTTTAATCAAAGTTTGAAAATGCCCCTCCCCTCTGCATTGGAGGACCTTGCCCGATGACGTAGGCTTTACGGTTTGGGCGTCTCCTTAACATCCATAACCACGCCCCTCCAACTGACAGCTGCTGTGTGTTTGCGAGCGCCGAGCGAGGATTGATTGACAGCGTGTGTAAACTTGCGTTCTAGATCCAATCAGGTGCTAGTTAGAAAAAAAAGCCACGCCCACTATTTTGCCTCATTTAGTATTCCGTTTCTCTCCGAAATACGTCACAACACTGGAGAAAAGTCGTTTGCAACTTCCGGTTCATGGGGACTTTAAAGCTAAAAAAGTGTGTCAAGTGTTGCTGAGATGATCTATTTGCAAGTGCAATGAAAACGGCAGGATGTCGAGTAGACATGCAACACCTTTTTTTGCAAAGACATCTTCAGCTCATATAGCTGACATTTGCACACAGTACACAGCAATTTTCCACTAAACCATTGTCTGTTGTCATACATTAAATGAAGCAAAATTAATTGCCATAACACGTTCCTCAGGTTATATATGTGGCCAGAAATCTCAAAGATGTGGCGGTTTCATATTATCACTTCCACAAGATGGCCAACTTTCTGCCTGACCCCGGCTCTTTCTCTGAGTTTCTGAGTGCGTTCCTGAAGGGAACGGGTGAGTTGATGTTCATCAGTCCGTCATTACCAGTTGCATGATATGCCACGCTCTTTTCCTTATAAAATTGATGTTGTTTTTTTACCCATCAGTGCATTATGGCTCTTGGTTTGAACATGTCAAGGGCTGGACCAGTCACTCAAAAGACATCCAGAACTTTCTTTACATCACGTATGAGGAAATGTGTCAGGTAAGATATAGCATTATCAGAAATTAGAGCCAGGCCGATATTAGGCATTTTCCATAATATCTTATTATGCTTGCTTATCTCTGAAATGCACTTTCTGTAAAGCTGCTTTGAAACAATATGTATTGCGAAAAGCACTATACAAATACATTTTTCAAAATTTTTAATTTTGCATCTATTGTACTTGGCCCATTTTTTTAGCTCCTTGCTACTATTTTTAATGTTTGTGTGTCATGAACGTTGGATATTTTGCTATATTTTGCTGTAGTCCAACAAATTAATTGGCTGAAGTCTTCAAGACAGTTTGATAAATCAAAATTAATTTGATAGATTATTGGCAAGAACGTCTCCAGGCAAAGCGTGTCAAAATTTATATGAATTTGATGTTTACCCACATACATTGTAGAGCCAGACCGATATATCGGCCGGCCGATATTAGGCATTTTCCAAAATATCGGTATCGGCAGTTATAATGGGCGATAAATGAATATTTAATAAATAAAAATAAAAACGGACGAAACACGCTTCAATCATCTCTCCTCGGCCTGTTATATTGAAAATGTATGTTTTACAATTTGCAGTATGATGTCATCTATTGCTAAATTATGGCTCATCATAGACTAGCTAACGCCACTATCATCAGTGGAAGACCGCTAACGTTAACATTAATGAGCTTGGAAACCACAATGAACTTTTTCCGCCTAAATAAAGTAATGATTACTGTATTTATAACTAGCATATCTCTAGTTACAGTCCCTGCATTGTGAAATGTAAGTTATACTTGCGAGGAGTGAACATTTTGACATAGAGAAAAAGTATCAAACGTATCTTGTGCAAAAAAGTTAGCTTTTCTTTTACACGTGTGTGAAATCCAACAATATTTAATAAAAAAAATTTTTAAAAATCGGCCGATATATCGGAATATCGGATTTTAAAACCCAAAAATATTTGTATCGGTATCGGCCTTCAAAATCCAATCAGAAATCATTCAATTTTGGGTGAACTACTCCTTTAAAAGGTTTGACATGAAACCGCTTCTGTCTCTGGTCAGGATCTTCACGGCGCTCTTCAGAAAGTGAGTCGGTTCCTGCAGTGTTCTTTATCTGAGGACGAGCTGGTCCTGGCTCAGAAGCACTGTAGTTTCAATAGCATGAAGGAAAATGCCATGGTGAACTACACCCTCATCCCTCAGGAGATCATGGACCACAGCAAGGGCACGTTCATGAGGAAAGGTAGAAATCCTTCTCATTTTCTTCAAACATTAGTATATAATCATGTCACGAGCGTAAAATTAATATAATCGTGACTAAATGTACAGTACACCGCCCGGCTAAAACAACATGGCTGTTTGGATTTAAATAGGTAAATGCTTAGGAGTCTATAATTGGATCATTATTGCAGTGATTATTATGTTATATGTTTGGCAACCGTTTCTGACTGACCAAAAATTGATGCACCTCTTGATGCAACCTGGTGAATCTTGACATTGTCATCTATGGTGTTTTTGTTTAAGCAATTCACTCCATCAATTAGGGTTATAAACATATAACATGCTAGAAACACAATAATCACTGCAATAAGGATCCAGACAATTTGGTCAGTACACTCTAAACAATGCTGGGTTGTTTCAACCCAAATTTGGGTCAAATATGGACAAACCCAAATGTTGGGTTAAAAATGTCACTTTATGAATTTTTCACTTTCAACTGTACATTTTTTATTACATTTTTAACCCAACATTTGGGTTTGTCCATATTTGACCCAAATTTGGGTTGAAACAACCCAGAGTAGTTCACTTTAAAAAAAACAAAATGTCGTCCCATGTCGTCCAAGATGTCCACGTCTTTCTTTCTTCAGTCGAAAAGAAATTAAGGTTTTTGGTGAAAACATTCCAGGATTTTCTCCATATAATGGACTTCAATGGGGTCCAAACGGTTCAAGGTCCAAAAGAGAGTTTTGGATCAGCTTCAAAGGGCTTTAAACGACACAAGGCGATGAATAAGGGTCTTATCTAGTGAAACCATCAGTCATTTAAAAAATATATAAAAAAAGTTTAAGTTTTATAAGCATAAATGCTCGCCTTGCTCTGTTTTGTGTGACTCTCCCGTTTAAACTCGTTTATCAAAATGAACAAATCTTTTTTCGAGTCATGACTCAAAGGGTCCTTGATAAGACCCTTATTCATCGTCTGGAATCGTTTAAAGCCCTTTGAACAGTTTGTACTGAAACTGTCTTTTGGACCTTGAACCGTTTGGTCCCCATTGAAGTCCATTATATGGAGAAAATCCTGGAATGTTTTCATCAAAAACCTTAATTTCTTTTCGACTGAAGAAAGAAAGACGTGGACATCTTGGATGACATGGGGGTGAGTAAATTATCAGCAAATGTTTTTTTTTTTTAAATGAACTACTCCTTTAACTTAAATCCAAACAGTAACTGTGAAAAACAAGTGGTGTCAAACCTGTGATTTTATAAAATATATTTTTAATAACCATCTGAACCCTACAATCGTCTAATAATGTTTCAGGTAAAGTGGGAGACTGGAAGAACACATTAACCGAGGAGCAGAGCTGTCTCGTCGATGACGTCTACTCTTCCCAGATGGCAGACTCCTCACTGCCGTTCAAATGGGGAATGGGATTGGCCTAGGGAGACGAAGGCCTCGGATAACCATTTATAATCACATTCTTCTCTCATAACCACTCATCACTGCCAAAATCCTTCCTTTTACATTTAGTATTTCACACTGAAATGCCCTGATGTAAGCAAGCTCGGAAAAAAATAAGCTGATGTTTTTGAGTTCTTCCTGTTTGTTTGTTTGATTGTTTGTTTTTTGCTGTTTTTTGAGAATGTAGCCCTCAAACCGTATAGCCCTTAATCCTGCAATTGTGGACAAATGTGGGCACAGAGGACTCAGGTGATCTTAATTTTTATTTATTATAAATGTTATATCACTGTCTTCGATAAAGTTTTGTCTATCCATTTATGGTGTTTTTTTTTTAATTTTGGGGGTATTTTTGAATTTATTTACTTCAAAAAGTACCATATTTTTCTATGTAAATTATGCTTATTTTTATGTTTTATTTTTTAAATTTTTTTTAACTACATTAAAATATCGTTCCAATAAGTCCTTAGAGCTAAAACCTAAAGATGAAGTGATTTTGCTGTCTTATTTTGGCTTATTTTAGAACGCTCTAAATTACAGTTTTTTCCCATTCATTTCTATGGGTGCCCATTTTTGACCCAAATACAAGATTAAGGAGTTTTAACATTGTAGAATTGAGCCAAAAAAAAAAAATTGTGTGTTCAGGAGGCAAACTTAGGAAAAGTAGCCAAGTCTTGCACCGCTCAGATCAAGGGAAGTATTTTTAAAAAAAATAAATCAAAACTATTTTGCCCACATTTGTCCAGAATACGGTTTTAGGGTTAAAGAAAAAAGTTTCAGTCTGTGACCTTAAGAGAAATGTAGCAATATTTATGTAACTTATTACAAGTAATTTTATACTTTTGTCTGATGCAATATAATAATAAAATGATATGAACATACCTAATCATGTAGATCAGATAAGTGGAGTTATGATCTAGATAAATAATTTATGTGTGCTTTTATCGCCTTGATGTTTCATTTTGCTTTTTACTTTTATAACTTGGAAATATCATTATTGTGCAATGCTATTGTGAAGCAAGAACATGTACATAAACCTACTTGACAACCTCTGCTCTTACGCTAATTGTGTTCATTTTGAATTAAGAGAAATTACTGCTGTTAAATGACTCTCCATTGGTGACAGTGGTGTGTAACAAGGGCAAACCACGGGTGTGTCAAAATTGTGGCCGGTGAAAACGCTGAGTGGCTTGTAACTTTGCAAAACCACAGTGGCTGGAGAGCGAAAAGGGTAATGTCAAGCCCTGGGTGTAACGATAAATACAGTGGTAAACAAGCAGAGGAACTTGTTGAGCTCATTAGATGTTCTTGTGAGTGTGAAGCCGATCTAAAAGGCCAGATCGCCAAAGTGCCGTTCTCTTTAATGAAGAGAGTGAAGTGATGAGAGAAAAACTCCATGGATGGCACTTCAAATCTGCATTCGGGAAGGAAGAAGCAACATTTCAGACTCTAGCTGAGTCAGTCTCATGTGGAAGAGACATCATGTTACAAAAGCTTTAGGCAGTGAAAAATGTGTTTTGCAAGGTTCGCTGCTTCAGTCGTTGGTCGTTGTGGTGTTGCTTCATATTGTTTCTAGATGAGTGCACTCTGGGATTTTTCAACCCAAATTTGGGTCAAATAAGGACAAACATTGGGTTAAAAATGTCATTTAAACTTCAACTTTCACTTTCAACTGTACATTTTTTTAATGATATTTTATTTTAACCCATCATTTGGGTTTGTCCATATTTGACCCATATTTGGGTTGAAATAACCCAGCATTTAAATGCAAAAAGCTCAATTGCTCAATTGCAAAAAAAAATTTGATTTATGGGGGTCCAAAAACACCTTGTCTATCAATTTTCATCTCTTTTTGCAACTGTATAGCATCTGACCAGTCACGCCGACCTAGCTGTTACACGACACAATAATGATATGAAACTGTTTGAACTTATCAGACCAAAACAGTTGTTTTAACCCAGCTTTGGGTCAAATATGGACAAACCCAGCCATTGGGTTACATTTTAAATTACATTTTTAACCCAACGTTTGGGTTTGAAATGTTTCCATATTTGACCCAAAGTTGGGTTAAAACAACCCAGTATTTTTTATTGTGTCCTTTTTCTCTGATCTTCACAATGTTCATCTATTAGATACAGTACACTGGATTTTATTATAAACTATTAAATAAGATGGATCTTATTTTTGTTTAAACTTCACTCAAATGTCATATTTACTTAATTCGTTTTTTATAACTTTACATTTTTACCTAATAAATGTGTTATTCCTTATTCAAATTTGATCTCTGAAATAATAATTTCTTTGCATGGATCTCAATGCATCAGTCATATTCTAGTAAAGTGGGGCGGTACTTGTGAAATTAATTTGCTTTAAATAAATATATACAAAATGTATATGACTAATTAGGTCAAATTTCTTAAAAACAAAACAAAAAAAAACCAAAACATTGGTCATGGCTTAATGCCAATGGGAAGATGAGGGTCCTATGGCCAAAACAGTTATTTTACCACTAAACCACTAATTTACCAACTTGGTATGTTGTTCAGGGACCATTGGCTGGGGCGCCCTGGCTAAATCATTTCAGTATGCCCTCAGCTACATCTGTGCCAAATTGAGTGCTTGTAGATGAATTTGCATGAATAATGGGGTGTAAGTCAAGCCCCCATTCTACAGCCCAAACTGCTTTTTTGGACAGCGGCCATATTGGAATTGGAGGATCGAGGGGTCCAGATATACTGGGTCATAAATATAAACATTCCTATGTGTTTCCCATGATCAATTAAGCTGAAAAACATATCAAGTTTGTATTTGTAACTCATGTGGTTCAAAAGTTATAGCTGGAACCCTTTTCGGGCAGCGGCCATATTGGATTTGGCCGCCATCTTGGCCCCGAGGGTTACATCTGCTACAGCTGTTGATTGCAATTCTACTGGAAGTACAAGGATTGGATAGCAGAAGACTGGTGAAAAGATTTTTCTCGTCCGACTGTTTGGGACATCGATTGTCCGAAGAGGAATAGGTGAACGCCACCATGAGTCGTGTGTCGTGCCAAAAGTGAAGACCATCCATGTGTGGGGATGCTTTTCATTCATAGGGAGTGACTCTATCACAATCCTGCCCAAAACACTGCCAAGAATGGTGTAAAATGTCCTGAAAAACCAACTTCTCCCAATAACCAAGGAGCAATTTGGTGCTTTTTCCAGCATGATGGAGCAAAACGTAGCCTAGAGTTATGAAGTGGCTCCATGAAATTTTGCATATGTGGCCAAACCCAGATCGTAATCCCAAATTGAGAACCTGTGGTCAATCCTCAAACAGAAACTCACACACTGTGGTCAAATATTATAGATATTCCTGCTCAATGAACAGGTGGGAGGAAAGTGTAGTGTAAAACATTTCGATATTCAGAGGGTGACCTCTAGTGGTGGGGAAGTGGCATAACAGGCTCAGATGCTACTGGGGTTAATTAATTCAAAGTCAAAGTCAACTCATCACAAACTCCCCTTCACTTGTATTATTATATTGAGAGTTTTATTATTTATTGAGAGTTTAGTTGCATTGGATTTAAATGTCTTTGAGGTAAGGTTTTGGGAATGCATACAACAGTGCAATTTTCAGACCATGGAATATGCTAGTCTTTTTGTTTTTACTTTTATTTATTTATTTATTTCGATCTCCATTAGCTGCACACGAGCCGCTACTCTTCCTGGAGTCGATTCGAACCATGCCGCTTACAAAACTTTTACACCAATATTCAGTGCATTACATTTTGCAAAACTAAACACAAATAGAAAATTACACAAATTACGGTATCATTGGCTGCAAGCAATGGTTCTCTGAGGAAACACCTTTCTTCTCAAAAGAAGATGCTGTTGAGAGCCACATGCTCCACAAAATCTGTTGACTCAAATGAATAGCTTGTTTTCATATGACGTCATGCCACTGTGTTGCCATGGCGCGAAATACAAATGGAGGGCGGGAAGGGATTTGCTTTATTTAGAAAGCACTATACCTTATGCACCAGCGAAACGTGGGCGCCGTCATCTTAGAATATTGTTTTTGAACTTCCGTTTTTGCGGTCGCTCTGTATATTTATTTGGCATCGCTGTCGAGGAGTAGCTGGTGAAGTGGGTTTACTTATTGTAGAGTTAAAGTTATCATGAGTATAATGTTTATCATTAGCATTGTAAAGCAGATGTCTTAACAATGTCGACCGGGAAATTTTTTAACGAGCAGTTCATTCATACCTATGCAAGATCGCTATGAAAATACAGACCGGAAGTCAAAAGACAACGAACGAACGCAGCGCTGAAAAGGGGCGGGGCTACAAGGTTTATATAACGAACTCTAAATGCCTGTGTTTTGCGTCGTTTATGGTTACTTGAATCGATCAAACCACAAGGAGTTTTTATCGTGTACCAAAAGCTGTTCATGAAGGGGGGAAATGAAAGGAATTGACAGAAAAAACAGCTTGTAAACCTGTCTGCGGTCGGAAGGAGCCGAATGGGAAAATGCCCGTGATCACATCGTCAAAGGTGAGTTAATACAACTTAAGTGGCTGTTTGTGTAACGTTTACGAACTTTGTAAAGTCAAAGAATGTCTGCAAGATGAGGTCGTTGTGATACCGCCTCGATGGCAGGAAAATCTTTATTCAGTTGAAAAATCGCTCCTCGTTATAACGTAAGGATCACGTCCAACATAGCCTATGTTTGATTTTTTGTTTATAGACCATTTCACAAGATGTAAACAACACTGGTCCAGAAGCACTTCCTGTTTCAGTTTGTAACTGTTTTCTATATTTCACATGTAAAGAAAACATCTTAAAGATGCTTGTTTAACTTTTTGATTCAGTTTTAAATGTTCTGTTGGTTGTATTTTATCCCAGCTTTTATGTAGTGTTAAAAAACTGAAACAGGAAGTGCTTCTGGGCCAGTGTTGTTTACATCTTGTGAAATGGTCTAAGTAGTAGCCTACAGTAGGACTTTCCTCCATCTCGTCCATTGCGCTTTTCACTCCCTGTCCTCCATCTGAATTCCACGCGTCATCATAATCACATGACTGAAACCCAGCTAAACAGAAGAACTTGATTCAAGGTTAACTGTGGCTTGTCAGATTTGCAGTGTATTGATTCCCTGATGGTTTATGAGAGAGAGGAATACAGCATTTCTGAATCAGCCGGGATTTTAAGTCACTCCATTGGTCTCATTGATGCTCAAGATAACCTTGACAGCGCTGCTCTTGAAGTGCTCTTTACAGAAAGTAAAGTCGCACAAGGTGGTGATGGCCATTCTGCAGCAGAGCTTTACATATTTAATGAACTAAAATGGTATGTGACGTGCTTTCTCATGTTTGCCTAGATAGAAAATGCACACAGTAAGGTAATAATAAACCAGTCATGTGCAACAATCCCAGTCGGCCCAGATTAGCAGATTAGTAAATTTAATTTCCATTGTTTAATACAATTGATATTTTAAGAGTTCCTGCTAACACAGCAAATGCACAATATGTTGTCCAGTGCATTGATTTATAGCTATATGGGATGCATATTATGGAATAATTGCCGCGGCAGCTGTCAATCATGACGTTAAATTATTCATAATGGAATTTGTTTTTTTTAGTTTGGCTTGTGTCCCATTTGATTACACTATGACCTATATTGCAGCCAGCCACTAGGGGGCGATCGACGTGTTTTGGCTTCATTGAGAAGCTACATGTGCGGCACACTAGAGATACACTAAACACTTTTTTGTTTCAAATATGGATGTAAATGTTAAATGACAATCCCCATTTTTATTCTCACATTTTAACAGTGCAAATTACAACCCAGACAGCAAACAAAGTGTCCAGATGGCCCGGATCTGGCCCGAAACTTTGGCACAGTCCTCACTAGCATCTTTTTCTCTCTGTTTTGGCCTACCGTCCACACTGACGGCTTTTTTGTTAATGAAAACTGTAGTCTTGACTGTCAAAATGGGGGTGCGATGATGAAAAAACGATGATGCAGTCATGTGACGCATAGATCATGTTTATATGATGCCTGTTCTGTGCGATTCACTGTTGCTAAAATATGTTCCTTCACACACTCTTCATATCACAGTCCTGCAAAGATGACTGAATTCACACACATTTGCTGTCCCGCAACAAAACATGCAGCAGTTTCGGACCAAACATATAATAGTGAGTGAGTGCGACCTGACGATCAGTGAACGGCACGCTGAGATATTTTGCTAAATAAAATGACCCTGCCAGAAGACTTGCGCGATAACTTTATGATGTATTTCTCCATCTTTATCATCTCAGTGAGGTTTTACGCAAGCGCAGTAGCGTTTTCAGGCGTTTTCCAAAAAGGCGTTTCTCTCATCCACACTGATACGCCTGAAAACGTTGGTGTAGACGGAGAGCGTTTTTTAAATGAAAACGCTGTTTTCAAATGTATCCCGATTAATGTAGACGTAGCCTATGTTGCTGTCTGGGAAACCAATGAAATAAATGTATACTTATTAGAGCCAGACCGATATATCGGCAGGCCGATATTATCGGCCGATATTAGGCATTTTCCAAACTATCGGTATCTACAGTTATAATGGCCGATAAATGAATATTTCAAAAATAAAATAAAAATGAACGAAACACGCTTGAACCATGTCATGAGTGTTGGAGTTGTATAGTTTGTCCACCAGAGGGCACTCTACACCGTCACTGTTGGCAACACTCGTTGAGTTGGTCACGAGACATACATTGCTTGAATAACAATTAATAGAACATCCCCATCAGTTCAAATAAGCAAAATTTGACTATCATATCCAGTTTTGCTGCTGTTAAATAAGCCGAGAGTGAAGCGGAATTAGCTAGTAATAATTACGTTACGTTATTACAGAGTAGTTGACTGACTGTCCTTTTAACTTTTGACAATGTGACTGAAGTATTTCTTTAATAGCGTGTGACAGTTATAGCAATGCGACGTATCATCTCTCCTCGGCCTGTTATATTGAAAATGTATGTTTTACAATTTGCAGTACGACGTAATCCATTGCTAAATTATGGCTCATCATAGACTAGCTAACCACAAAGCTAGCTAATGGTATCATCAGTCTGTTCTGTTGTGACAATAAAAGAAACAAGTTTCTTTTTAAAATGCATTATCATATTATTTTAGTTAAAACTCATAAATAACTAAATAACTAATGTTAGGGAAATCTGTTAATGTTTTGTTGCGAATTTTAATGCGAATTTCGGTATCGGCCTTCAAAATCCTTTTATTGGTCGGGCTCTAATATTTATTAAGCAATCATACTACTGTTGTTGTGAAAACATGTGACTTATAATTGAAGCGCGTCGCTCTGGAAATCCCTGTGAATCTCCTCTCATGACGCTGTGAATCCAGGGCAGGTAGGCGGAAACCTTTGTGTAGACGGCAAACTCTTCGACGAAACAAGCCTTGTCAAAGGAGAGGATCCCCGCCGCATACACTGCACTGGTGTTGGGCTTCAGGAACACAAGAGCGCCCCCTGCGTCACCAAAACACACGTTTTCCTGGTACCTGCTGGGTCCTGTGCAAAACTGTCTGTCGGACACATTTGGTGTGCTTGCGAGGACCTTTGCCGTGTAGTTCCCCTTGCATGGCTGGACGGGCAGAGCGAGAAACTTCAGTTTCGGGGCAGGGGTGAAAAGACGCCCCCATCCCCACCCAGCGATGACGCCTCTCTCTCCTTCGCTCTCTGCCTGGGTATCTCCACTCTCTGGAAGCGGGATGGGCATTATATACTGGTTAAATCTGACTGGCTCCTTCAGTTTGATCAGAGCGAGGTCATTGTCCCAGTCGGATGTGTTCTGGAAGCCTGGATGCAGAAACACCTGCGAGACATTTCAACTATTAATGCTCTCATGCAACAATTTTCCTTTTCTTCACATAACTGTACATGCAAAATTAACTTGTTACAATGATAAATTGGTCCCAAAAACAATTGCAAACTTTAACCCTCCGGTGCTCTTCGTTTCGGAGTCACACTTGTTATCTTCCCGGTCAGAAGTGACCGGACACCTAAAAATGAAACTTTCTCCATCCCAGTAAAACCAATGCAATTTTTGTTTTTGTATTTTTGTTCTATAATATTTATTCTTTTTAATTTAGTATTTTGAGACAATTTAATTGAATTTATTAATATTTATGCAATATTTATGGTTTATTTTTGCCATGGAAAAATATATACATTTTTCTATATATATATATATATATATATATTATTTTTTTCAAAAAAATATTAATGCAGTATTTTAGTTTAATATAGAGTCTAGGCCTTCAGAAAAAAAAAATTAAGAAAATTAGCACCATCTGGTTTCAGTATAGAGAAAAGGCGTAGAGTCATGGTGTAACCACTAGATGGCATGTGCAGCTCTCTATGGTGAGGCATGTGAATTCCCCAGCTGTTTATGAACACATTTTTTTTTTTTTTGGTGGATTTGTATCTTTAGTTGAAATAATCTCAAAAACTATTTCTTATAAAAAAATGACAAAAAAAAATAAAAAAAATATTCACAATTTTTAAAAATTTTTTTTTTACAATTTCCCATTCATTTCCTATCGGGTCATTTTTGACCAAAGACCACAAGTGTGACTATTTTTTTTAAGACCACTTAGCCTGCTCGGATCATGACCTCAATTTTTTTGTGTGTTCACATACATAATGCCATAAAAGTCACCAAGTTTCGTAACATTCCGATGAAGCTGTGATTTTTAAAATTTCAAAACAGAAAATTTTTCGGTCAGAAATGACCGAAGAGCACCTGAGGGTTAAAGATGCATAGCACAAGTCTCTGAGTTTTTGCAGAACTACACCCCCTCTGGCGACAAGCGAAACTGCAACCAGAGGTGTGCACGCTAGCTCATGGACCACACACACGCACGCTTGCACGAGCTGTTCATAACCAAAGGTATAATATATAAGCATATATAATTAGAAACGTTTCTGTTACCCTTCAAATTGTTCAAATTTAAATTGCGCATTGAAAATATTCCCAATGGAAACACGTCAATTTTGCAAAAACTCCCATATGTTGCAAAAAATAAATAAATAGTTTTTACACTCGCATGAGGAGGTTTTTCAGGCAATTTTGCCAGTTCTTGAAGCCGAACTGAGGGAGAAACATCTTATATGTGCCGCTCACAAGTATAAGGGTATTTCCTCGCCATTAATGCTTAAATAACACTGGAGGAAAAAATTACGTTTTAGTCGCAAACTTCATTTTGCAAGTCGTTTTTTCAAAGATAAAATAATTTTTGACATAGATGCCACTTTCTAATATCGGACTATAGCTGAAGAGACATTAGCAACTAAGTAAGCTTAACATGCTAATCGGTTAGCATGCTAACTTATGCTTTTTGTCTTTGTATTTACAACTATATGGATGGTTTAGCAAATTTAGCATAGCAGATTTGGATATTTACCTTCTCCACCGCTACTTCAGAAGAAGCATTTGCATCAGAAAGTTTGCTGATTCCAAGATAGACTTTTGGGATTAATGGTTCTTGTCCTCTTGTATGATTTCGACTCTTTCTTACAAACAGATTCCGGCCGGCAGTCAGTACCCAGCGCTCCGCTATCAGCGCTCCTCCAGCAAAACCTCCCTCTAGTATGTTTTCACTGAGGTACACCATTGCCTGCCACGGGACGGATGCGTTCAGCGATCCCCCCACCATTCGTTTGGGACGTAGGGCTGAAATCCTGTGAGCTAGAATACATGAGAATGAGCTGTCAATGGTATTTTGTCATGCTACGGATGTAAAGAAAACACAAATTGTAATGCTTAATAGCTAGATTTATTGAGTTGGGAAGTTGCGTTCATGACCTTGGGTGCGTTCTACTCGTAAATACGATTTTTCCAACATAACTTGAATGCACCAATTGTATGAAAATACTGTAGGGGTTGGATCTTTTAGCTTCCAACATGCTGAATAGCTGCATGTTAAGAGCGATTAGCTATGTGTTGAAACATTTAAAAACATGCTAACAGCATGCTAACTGTGTTAGCATAATGTTAAACATACTAGCATCATGCTAATGACATATTAATCATTTTAGCAAACAGAACTTCCAACATGCTAAAAATGCTATCAGTGAATAGCTACATGCTAGTTGTGATTAGCTATGTGTTAAAACATTCTGAAAAATCCTAACTAAGTATTAAAACATGATATAAACAAGTCAAATTGTGCTAGCATCATGGTAACAAAATGTAAAAACATGTTAGCATCGCCTAGCTGCATGCTTGTACATGTTTAAAAGCATGCTAACGTATGTTAGCAACATCAAGTGAAGCATTAAAACATGCTAATGACATGATAATTTGTTAGCATAACGTTAAACATAAGAGCATCATGCTAACTATATATTAATTATATTAGCAAACAAGACTTCCAACATGCTAGCAATGAATAGCTGCATGCTAATAGTGATTAGCTAAGTGCTAAAACATACTAAAATCATCATAACTAATTATTAAAATATGATAAAAATGACTCAAAATGTGCTAGCATTATGGTTAGCCATTTTGTTAAAACGTTACCATCGCCTAGTTGCATAAATATGCTAACAACATTTAATGAAGCGTTAAAACATGCTTATGTTACTCATGTTAGCATGTTGTTATTAGCAAAACATGATAATTGTGTTTGCATTAAACATGTTAATCATGTTAGCATGCTAGAGACATGCTAATATTGTAAGCATCTTGCTAAAAACATGATAAACGTTAATCCTGTAAGCACTTTGTTGAAACAAATCCCTCTCAGAATTAGTGGAGATGAGCTTTTCTGGCTCGTTTTTAGCAAGATGCTAACATGATTAGCATATCTTAGCACATTTTGCTATGTTCTTGCTATGATATTTTCACAATACTGTTGTTATTTTGATGAACTACACACACTCAGTACACAAAGATGGCTTAAAATGCGTCTTTTGTGACATTAAATTGACTATAAATCCCAGCTGTCGCTGTCTGCTGCTGAGCATTGGTCACGTCTGATGCGGAGGTTGTTTGTTACCCGAATCATGCTCTCTGACTCTGTCCGAAGCCGAAGACACATCTGGCATCCAAGTAATAGTGCCCACGAGCAGCACACACAGCCTGAGGACCAAACAGGGTCATCAACGAGAGATAATCTCTTGCTTGTTTGCACCGATTAATAATGCATTATGCATTGCAGTGAAATAGCTTATTAAATTAGCTAAATTTAGAGATGCTTTTTAAATGTCTGTCAATCCAGTACTTGATCACACATCATTATTTGAAACTTTAATTTAGAGTATAAAACTTACCACCTCATGATGAAAACGTTTTGGAAACAGATCCGACTTTTATTCATTTGTGGTCATTGAGGTTCTGCATTTATATGAGCTCGACACAGATGTTCCCCCCCTAAAAAACAAACATCTAAACTAACAGATTACATAATCGGGGAAATTTATCTGTGTTTGAATGTTGACACTGCCTCGGTTAAAGGCGGATCAACTTTCCAAAGGCTACTTTTCAGTTTGAGATTGCTTGTTGTAACCCACAGAAAAAAATAATAGTATTTGTAAAAGGGTGAACATCTTGCGTGAAATATCGATTAATCAAATGACAGTGCCAGTAAGTCCATGTTTTGCAAACGCAAATTTCACGATTTTGCAACCTATCAAACAATGTTGCAATAAAAAAAGTTTTGATCACTCTGACCGTTACGCATAAGGCATTTCCAGAGGAAAACATGGCAATCTTTTGTGGAACAATTACAATGGCAGACGACTCAGATTCTGTTTTTGTTTTTTTGTTTGTTTTTTGTTGTTGTTGTTAATAATTTGATGTAAATGGATCTTAACAAATTTGAATGAGCATTTTCTCCTGTTGAATGAAATTCATTAATTTACATGAATAATTTATGAAAGTAGTAGATTTCTGAACAACTATATGCATGAAAGTGGTTTGCCTACGCCAAAACTAGATTGATTTTGAGAAACCTGCCATGAAAAATGAAAATAATAATAATAATAACTCGCAACTCCCGACTGCTATTTCTGAACTTGAGAGCATTCTTAAATTATTTCTGACTGACCTCATTCCTTAGATTTGATTTTAAAACTATATGCATTGTTAAAGAAAGTTATAAAACACACTGAATAAGGGTTTGAAATGTCATTTTGGCTGTAACATCATTTTGTGACTGGTCTACTCTGCTCTGATTGGTCAGATCGTCCCAATCTGTTGTGATTGGTCTACTTCGCTTTGATTGGTCAGATGGCTCAGTCAATTGAGATCAGAATTAAACCGTTACAATCACAAGGGAAACTAACATAAATATGATTAAAATATAATGCTTTAAATGTGAAATCCATCTTGAATTTATTGAAGGTGAAGAATGCAAAGGGAACAATAATAAACTGGCTTTAACTGACTTGCTTCAGTTCCACATGCAGTTTTAATAATGACTTGTTAATCACGTGTATGATGTGCAGGGCTGGTGCAGTAAAGATTAGGGCAGAAAACACAAATGTTTGAAATATTATGAACTATTAATGACATGCAGTAGCCCGGACCATCTCACAAGTGTGTTAGAGATGGAAGTGGGTCATGACGGCCGTCATTAGCCTGAAGCCAAACTCAAAATATAACCTTTCAGCTCCGGTTGAAGACCTTGCTGCTCCCGTAAAGGACTCGAGTTATGACAAACAACCCAAATGAAGAAGACAAAATATAAAATATCATCAGTTTTCAGTGTCACTTTTACCAAGCAACATTAATACTTCCATGTAATGGATGTAAAATGTATCTTATTATCTATCTCAATCACTCTAAACTTTAATTGAAAAATGTGAAAATTCATCAAAGCTTTGAAACTTAATTTCCACAGTTCAAAAAAAGATTAAAGCACAAGTACTTCATTCATGTGGTAGAACAAAGTGTAAATATGCAATACTATAATAAAGAAAAAAATGGCCTGTTTAATTAATTTAACCCTTTGGTGTTGCTCACGTGGCAGTCAAAATTGACAGAATTCTTATTAAATGTTTTTATTTTGGGATATTATATTTATGCAGTATCCATAACCTGTTAACCTCTTGTTGAGCATTACGTAAACTGTCCTAAATCTTGAAAGACTTCAGTTTGATTTCTTTGTAAAGACACTTTACAACACAAAAAAAGACAAGTTTACAAAGCTATACGTTTTTTTTTCAGTCTTTATATGATATTTATTCTGTGATATTACTTTATTCAGGACTCAAAAAGAAAGGTCCATAGTACAAAAAACATAACAGTTACAACAAAGCAATAAATAAATATAAAATACAAAGTTCATTAACTTTTTATATTTTCCAAAACATGTTTTACTCTGACACTGTGAGTAAATCAAAGACAAGTTATGTTCCAAAGTTGAGATTGATATCTCAATCAGATTATTGAGAGAAATTATTTGATGAAATTATTTTGTGTGTGTGTGTGTTTGTACCATTCCGATAAATTAAAAAATTCTTAAAGGTAAAGGAACATTTTTCGAAAAGCACCAGAGGGTTAAAAAAATTGATTTATACTTTGCACTTCCATGATGACAGATTTCTGGACATGCACCTGTTGTGTAATTAATGTTTATTTTGGGGATTGTCAGAATATTATGAACTCCTAGTATTACTCTGGAGAATAAGACATATTTTTCAGTGCTTTTTACATTAATGTTGAGATGCAAGACACTCCAGAGAGGAGAGGTTTTAATCATTCATGATATTAATGCCTAGTCTAATATAGTCAGTTACTATATTTTCATTTAATCTTTTGAGAATATTGTAAGTGGGATATTTTCAATTTCCATTACTCAGACATGCAGAAAAGTCCTGCAGGAAAACTCTCCAAGGATTACATTTAAATAAGCAGAACTTCCCCATCCTATTTGCATAATCTATTAGACTGAGCCATATCAAGCACAGTTTAATATGGAAACGCAGAAGTCGAGACTGTATAATGTGGACGGCTTGAGTTTGACATTTTGTATCTAATGCAATGAAAATCAGACATTTTTAATGGGCTTAAGAGGCCAACTTCCCTTTTTTCTTTTTTCTTTTTTCAGCTTCAAACAAATATTTTTGCCACTTCAACAATAAAATATGAGTCACAGACATCACACTCATCATTTTATATATATATTTTATATATATATATATGAAGAGTTCAGATGCAAAAGCCTCTAAATGCCATTTGAAATTTTCTTCTTTAATGATAATTTTTATCAAGCTTATTTAAGTTCAGTAATTTCACTTAAATGGCAATGTTATTTAAGTGAAATTACTGAACTTAAATATACAAGTTTGATAAAAATCATCATTAAAGAAGAAAATTTCAAATGGCATTTAGAGGCTTTTGCATCTGAACTCTTCATATATATATATATATATATATATATATATATATATATATATATATAGTCATAAAATTTGATACAGGTGCACTAATATGCATTAATTCATACTTAACTAATGCACAGATAATCATGAGTTAATGCATAACTCATTAAGAACTAAACCATTAATTAATGATTACTGCATCAGCCACGTCTATATGATTAATAGATTAAGTAATACATGAATTGCTATTAATTCAATGTGTCATTGTGTATTAATTCCTTAATAACATGTTTTATTAACTAATAGTGTAAATTAATGTGTTGATTACCACAATTAGTCAAATCTATGCACTTTAATTTCCAGTTGTCTGCTTTAATTAATCATTAGCTAATGATTTGCAAAGGTTTCATTATGTTATGACTTTACTTGTGGGGGCACGTCATTATTAACTATTCATTTAGTAATTGTAGTAATTTGCACATGAATTTGCACTAACAATGAAGTAATTAATGTATGAATGTATATTTGTGTACCTGTCATATTATCAGGAAGTTGAAATACAAGGCTTTGGCTCATTCTGGTAATTAACATAGTAATTAACACTATTTGTTAAAAAAATGGAATTAATCCACAATTACATATTTAATTAATAACAATTAATGTATGAACTAATACATTAACCCTACAGACTCTTAATTAGTTCCTAATGTGGTAATCATTAATGAATAGGTTAGATAATCATTAGTTACACATTAATTCAGTATTAGTTAAGCATGAATTAATGCACCCGTATTGTAAAGTGTTACCAAAAAAATCCCTCCAAATATTACAGTAAATCTAAGAAAAAAAAAGAATATATTTGCAAATGTTCTGTGAGTAATGTTATTTAACCTTCTAATGAATGTGTGTTTGAATATAACTAGTTAAGCTGAAGGCCACTATATAAAACACAATAAACAATAACCCGATCTGGTGATTAAGCCACTGGTTTACGCACATCCATTCAACACACTTACATTCAAGGTTTCATTTCATTTCCAAAGCATCTTCAACACCAGACCTTCAGTGCAGACCTCGCTCTATCTGTGTGTGTGTGTGTGTGTGTGTGTGTGTGTGTGCTTGTGACGCTTTCTATACATATTTTATGATTGAAGTGCATGGAAGAAAAAAAGATGAAGTGAGGAGAGGGTGAATAAAGCTGCTGAAAATTATCGGAGGGGTAATTTTAAGAGTAAAGGGTAGAAAGTGTGCAAGACGAGAGCGATAGTCAAGATCCATCGATCCAGAGAGAGAGAGAGAGAGAGAGAGAGAGAGGAGCATATGTTACTGTAAGGCTTGAGCTTGCAGCTGTGTTTGAGAGAGAGAGAGAGAGTTTCAGACAGACTAGGTCAACAATGAATGAGAGACTGCAATAAAGAGTGGGAAGAAGAAGCCGTAGAGGCGGAGAAAAACAAAGGAGGATGGAGGGATAACAAAAATAACAGAGAGAGAGAATCATTTCAAAGCTTGTTTTGTGTGTGTGAGAGAGATTCGCCTGTTTTCTGATGGGAGAGTGTGTGTTCAAACGGGACTGGACTGGACCGAGACGGGCTATTACCTCGTTCTTTGCCAAACGCTTTTCAGGAATATAAAATACAGGTAAGATGATACTGTGAAAAATAATCCTGGTTACAATAAGGTGTGTTACTGGTTTTGTGTTACAGCATATAGCTGTTTAATTACAGTATTATACTGTAGTCGACAATACGGTATTTAGCTGTTGATTTTAAAAACAGTAACACAGCTGCCAGTAGTTTACCGTTTTTTACAGATTGAAAAACAATCTAAATTTGTCATCTGCATATATTTAAAGGAATCTTCATTAAAAGAGCAATGCTTTTTTTTAATTGTCATTTATATTGAGAATGACCATGAATGATATGATATGAATGGACAAGGTCAAGTTTTTTTACGGTAAACGGATGCATTTTTATTTTATTCTTCATTTTAAATGCTCTTGTGAAAATCGAAATGTGTAAATACTATACTGTGTATAGTTTATAAATCAATATTAATGTGATTATTAAAGCTTCACACATAATAAAAATAAAATAAATGCCACAATACAATTTAAAAAAAAAACTGAGATGGACTAACTCTGTTTTTAACTAATATGAGTAAATATTTGCTATTTATTAACAAATTATGTGCTATGACATTATGCGATACTGTATAAATACACTGTAAGCAATGCTGGGTTGTTTAAAACCAAATTTGGGTCAAATATGGACCCAATATGTTGGGTTAAAAATGTAATTTCAAATTTTAACCCAACTTTAACTTTCACTTACTATACGTTTTTAAATTGCATTTTAACCCAACATTTGGGTTTGTCCATATTTAACCCAAATTTGGGTTGAAATAACCCAGCATTGTTTAGAGTGTATATATAGGCGATGAATACTGTAGATCTCAATTATTCTTGTAATTGTTCTTCATTATTCTCTTTATCATATAATGTTTTTTAATGATAATAGTACAAGAGAATTGGAAAGTTAGTTGTGTCCTAAACCAACCAGTTCTCAATATTATACATATAAAGTACATTTGCTTTTAAAAACCAAGCAAATTTAATTCACTAAATCAGTTGACACACAAATGATGTCTATGATCATACGCATTAATAATCTCACTAACACTGATGAATAAACCGCCGTATATACAGCTATAAAAGTTTACATTAAAAATATTTTAAAAAATGAAATAATAAATGAAATAATTTGTGTTTTTACATGTTAAAATACACAATACTAGCATGAACTGTTAAAAAAACTGATCCTGATAAATAGATCGAAGATAAAACCTGCATGCAAATCCTTTAAACAAATGCATGAATACACTCAGAAAAAAGGTAAAGCTGTCACTGGGGCTGTACCTTTTCAAAAGGTAAACTTTTGTCCATTTTAGGTGCTAATATGTACATTTCAGGTGCCAATACGTACATTTTAGGAGGTAATATGTACATTTTAAGTACTAATATGTACATTTTAGGTGCTAATATGTCCATATCAGGAGCTAATATGGCTATTTCAGGTGCTAATATGTACATTTTAGGAGGTAATATGTACATTTTAGGTGCTAATATGTACAGTTTAGGTGCTAATATGTACATTTCAGGAGCTAATATGTACATTTTAGGTGCTAATATGTACATTTTAGGTGCTAATATGTATCACTAAGGTACCAATATGCAGCCTTTGGGTACAAAAGTGTACCTTTTGAAGAGTTACAGCCCCAGTGACAGCTTTTGTACCTTTTTTCTGAGAGTGTACAAAATGCATGAATACTGTAGATCTCAATTATTCTCGTACTAGTTCTTCATTATAATATGTTTTGTAATTATTAACCCGGTTATTACAAGATAATTAAATTGCACCAAACCAACTAGTTCTCAATATTATATATTTTTTCACACATAAATCCTCCACTGAACACATGCATTAATAATCTGGCTAACACTGATTGAGTGAGCTGAGTTTTAGTTTTGAGCTCTAATTCATAATGAATAAGCCACTGCAAAAGCAATGTCTCAGCTGGATTCATACTTCCTACTAAATGCATTTGTAGTAAAAGATGCAAAACTTTTTTGACAGATAGCGAGAGCGACTGTGGGAGTTTGGCTGTGTGTGTTGGTGTCCGGTTGAGATGCTGTCATAACTGCCAAAAACACCCAGCAGAGCTTTCTATATTAATGCGCTCATAATATTTATCATGCTAAAGTTCAGTAAGTAGAGAGTCTGAAATCAGTCTAAAGTTTGGGTTCAATGTGACGAGATGCTGCGAGACAGAACACACTGATAAACATCGTCCTAAATGTCAGATATCCATGAACGTTGGTTAAGAATTAATTTTATTTTGCTTCCTGTTCCTCTAAAAATAAAGGCTCTTGATAGTGGAAAAAGGTTCTTTGGATTATTAATATGTTATTCACTCTGAGACCAAAAAAAGGTTATTTTAAGAACTGTTCACTGAAAAGAGTGCACATTACCTAAGAATGGATGCAAATATGAATTCTTATATCATCCTTCCCAGAGCCAGACAGTAACAGAGCACATTTTGAGGACAGTACTTAAAGGAGTAGTTTACTTTTAAAAAACTTTTGCTGATAATTTACTCACCCCCATGATGTCATCCAAGATGTCCACGTCTTTCTTTCTTCAGTCGAAAAGAAATTAAGGTTTTTGATGAAAACATTCCAGGATTTTCTCCATATAATGGACTTCAATGGGAACCAAACGGTTCAAGGTCCAAATGAGAGTTTCAGTGCAAACTGTTCAAAGGGCTTTAAAGGATTCCAGACGATGAATAAGGGTCTTATCAAGCGAAACGATCGCTCATTTAAAAAATAAATAAAAACGTTGAAGTTTTATAAGCACAAATGCTCGCCTTGCTCTGTTATGTGATGTGCGTTAGTGACTCTTCTGTTCGAACTCGTTCATCAAAATGACCAAATCTTTTTTCAAATCATTTTTGATTGATTTTGAAAAACGAAATGAATGAATCTTTTTTCGAGTCATTTGGTTCATTCAACGAACGAAATGAACGAATCTTTTTTTGAGTCATTTGGTTCTTTCAATGAACGAAATGAACGGATCTTTTTTTGAGTCATTTGGTTCATTCAACGAGCGAAATGAAGGAATCTTTTTTCGAGCCATTTGGTTCATTCAATGAACGAAATGACTCGAAAAAAGATTTTATCATTTTGATGAACGAGTTTGAACAGGAGAGTCACAAACTTGCATCACAGAACAGAGCAAAGTGAGCATTTGAGCTTATAAAACTTAAACTTTGTTATTTATTTATTAAATGAGTGATCGTTTCGCTTGATAAGACCCTTATTCATCATCTGGAATCGTTTAAAGCCCTTTGAACAGTTTGCACTGAAACTGCCTTTTGGACCTTGAACCGTTTGGTTCCCATTGAAGTCCATTATATGGAGAAAAATCCTGGAATATTTTCATCAAAAACCTTAATTTCTTTTCGACTGAAGAAAGAAAGACATGGACATCTTGGATGACATAAGCACAAGTTTTTTCAAAAGTGAACTACTCCTTTAACATTTTTCATAACTCCATGTAGGACGTTTCTGTCCATAAATGTAAGCACTGTGGCAGTAAAACTGCAATATTTTGAAGATGTACTCTTGATACTCAAGTACTTTTAAAAACAAGTACTTCACTTAAGTAGACATCTGACTGTAGTACTTTTACTTGTTCTTGAGTAAAATCTAGCAATCTGTACTTTTACTCAAGTAGATGTGTACTCTGTCCGCCTCTGATCCTTCCTTACCAACAAATTGGCATTGCAATTCTCCATTGTGTTTTCTACCTCAGGTAATCATCTCTTAAAACGTATTATTGTATGGAAGCATTTGTGTAAACGGTGATTTCAGTGGTTGTTAATGACTATGTGACGTATTTTATGGGCTTATGTTTACATTGTTTTTAGGGTTGTAAACTTGTTTGAAATACACTCTAAACAACGCTGGGTTGTTTAAACCCAAAATTTGTTCAAATATGGACCCAAATGTTGGGTTAAAAATCTAATTCAAAGTTTTAACCCAACTTCAACTTTCACTTTCAACTGTACATTTTTTAATTACATTTTTAACCCAACTTTTGGGTTGAAACAACCCAGCATTTTTTACAGTGTACTTTGTTTTTTCCATTGTGTTTATCACATGTTTTTTTTTTAGTTCTACTTAAAGCGCTCTGAGAATTGACTTTTGAAAGCGCTATATAAAATAAAGTTGTTATTATTAGGTCAATTTACCTTGCGAATATTCTACCTCCATTCACCCTATTCTACCAATTTCGCATTAAAATGTGAATCTGATTTGTTAGCTGTAGGGGCATCCAAAATAAAAGTTTGTGTTTACATAATATATGTGGGTGCACTGTGTATAATTATTATATATATATAAATAGACACACATGCTGATATATTTAAGAAATATTTTCATGTGTATAGATTTATATATAATTTATATTATACATAAATATAAATATTTTATATATAAATAATATTTTTATCTTAAATATACATGCATCTGTGTGTATTTATATATATATATATATATATATATATATATATATAAAATAATTATACACAGTGCACCCACATATAATATGTAAACACAAACTTTTATTTTGGATGCGATTAATCGTTTGACAGCCCTACTTACCATACATTTGCACATGATTTATGACTTTTAATTGCAGTCTATTGTGTTGCCTTGCGTTAAATGTACAAACTTTCTCTGAAACAAAGTTTTCTCTGCTCTTTCACAGGGTTGTAATTCACTGAAAACAACAGAGCCAACATTTAAAACATTGACTTGACTAGGCCATCTATATCAGTGTCTGTCAGAGGCATGAAGACCGCATCACGACTGCACTATTGGCTAACGGCGGTGTACTCGGACAACCAGGACCTCAACTTGGGATAATGGAGACCGCTAATCAGACAGCGGCTGGAGAAACGCTGGCTCCTCTCTGCACTGTGTGTTGCTGTGGCCTGATCAACCGAACATTAGCGGTAATATTCATGGTCAGTCTGGCCTTCGCTATTGTGGTGGGAAACGTGGTGACACTCACTGTTTTCATGCAGACCCGGCATTCCCGAACACCACAAGGATACCTCAAAGGTAACCACGATGATTTACATACAGAATATGTTCAGGATGGCATGCAGGTTTACAGTATGCAAATGTCGTCTGTTCTCTTCAGTAACGTATCCTTCACTGCAGTGTGATTAATCAGAAGAAATATGAAGCTTTTTCTTGAAATTTCTTCACATTGTTTGGCCAAACTGCTACAAAAAAAAAAAAAAAAAAAAAAAAAAATTGGGTTAAAGTGCCCCTGTAGTTTAAATCAAGTTTTAATGTTGTTTAATGTGCTTTAGACAAACCATGTGAACGTTCATAAGTCGACAGCATTGCTGAGTATTTTCAGTGAACCAAAGACAGTCTCAAAAACACGGTTTGAAATCGCTGGTGTTTCTGACGGCACAAACGACCTTGTAACCAATCAGATCAACGTGTGATCGTCAACCGGTGGATCTCTGAGCTGAGCGAGTGAGTAGGGGCGGGGCTCATTTGCATATTCATAGAACCGCGCATACTAAATGAGGCAAGGGTGTCGAGTTACATTCAAGCTATTTTAAGGCATGGAAAAAACATTTAAATATGTCCTTTGGGTGATCAAAGATGAGTTTTAAGGGATAAAATGATTGACTAAAAAAGTGATAAGTGATACATGTCTGAGAGTAATTACTCAGTTAACTCGCTTAATTAAACATCCAATATATAAGGTTACAGTTACAAACTGTACTACTGTTCATAACATTCATCATTGCATACTGCACACTACTTCACATATTTCTGAAACAAAACAGTGTCATTCTAAACAATGCTGGGTTGTTTCAACCCAACTTGGGTCAAATATGGACAAACCCATGTGTTGGGTTAAAAATTTAATAAAAAAAATTTACAGTTGAAAGTGAATGTTATAAATTACATTTTAACCCAACATTTGGGTTTGTCCATATTTTACCCAAATTTGGGTTAAAACAACCCAGCATTGATTAAAGTCTACTGTAAACAATGGGGGGAATTGTACAGTACAAATATAATAATTTATTAAAACTAAACTCCATATTGGGAGAATATTTTTGCACCTAGCAAAGGGAAAATCAATAAATTGAACTGAAATGTTTATGGAAGGACATTTTCTTGAATAGAAAATGAATAGAAGGACATTTTCTTGAATAGAAAATGTCATAACTTTCTCATAATTAAGACTTTAAAATGCAAATTTGAAGTCCAAAATTGACGTCCGAAATTTCCGCACGTTAAAACATAAATATTACCTCACGTTATATCAAACATGCTTGCCTCAGAAACTTTCGTCCGTCATAAAAAAATCACATTGGGTTCGATTTACGTTCAAATATAAAGAATTATCGGTATCGGCCAAAATTGTTTTGTCATAACGTTCTCATAATTAAGACTTTGGCCTCAAGTCAAATAATTAAAAAGTCCAAAATTCACTTCCGAAATTTCCGCACGTTAAAAAATAAATATGACCTCACGTTATGTCAAGCATACTTGCCTCAGAAACTTTCGTCCGTCATAAAAAAAATCGCATCGGGTTCGATTTACAACGTTTTTTGCATCCGTAGCAAGCAGTTCGAATGGTGTCTTGACAATTCAGAGACACCGAATCACGAATACGGAAAAACGTGCGCAGACTCAGTGCGCAAGGGCCTTTAGTATCTTATTCTATCAAGAAACTTTCTCATAATAATGACTAGGGATGCACAATATATCGGCCAGCATATCGGCATCGGCCGGTATATTTTCATTTTTAATGTTATCGTTATCGGCCTCGTGAGAAAACGCGGCCGGTATGTTAAATCCAATAAATAATGTATTATTCCCTTCAGCTGAGACACTTGTGTAACACTGTTTATGTTTTTGAATTTCTTTAAATATGATTGAAATCTCTTCAAAAAATGAAAATACAGTTCGGTTCAACATGTGCAGCCCAAATCTGTCATATCGGCTACATAACACTATAATGAGAACATCATTATAATCGTGCACTTGGGACATGGGTTTAATTGTGAGACTTGTTTTTGTAATCAGGCTCTCAAAATTCTACAAAAATTTGGATTTAAATTTATCGTCCGATATATCAACCCGATCTCACGGGAATTCGTACGAATTTTACGAGGTGGCTAATTCGTAACAATTCGTACGACCTCACTCGTACGAATTAGTACGATTTTGCTAAATCGTACATATTTTACGAATTAGCGAATTCGTATGAATTCGTACGAATGACCTACCCCTGACCCCGCCCCTAAACATAACCGTCACGTGGGTTTAGACAAATCGTATGAATTCGTACGAGTGAGGTCGTATTAATTAGTACGAATTAGCCACTTTTGAATCAATCGTACGAATTCGTACGTATTGGTCGTGAGATAGCGTAGGATATATCGGTTATCGGCTTTCAAATATAAAGAATTATCGGTATCGGCCAAAATTTTCATATCGAATTTATCATAATAATGAGAAACTTTCTCATTGTAACGTTTTCTCCACAGAAGGCGAGCCGAGATGAACGTGAATGAATGATGCAATCTGAAATACTCTCTATATTTGTCTTGCAGTGTCGCTGGCCATCGCAGACGTGATAGTTGGAGTCTGGGTGGTGCCGTTTTCTGTATACACCGAAATCTCTCTCATGGTGACCAGCGCCCCCCCGTCGTGGTACCAGGGGATCTCAACCGGATCTTGGCAACCCTGCATGCTGATTGGTCCAGTTTTTGCGGGATGCACCTTTGTCTCGATCAGTACCATCTTTCTGATGACGATGGAGCGCAGCGTCGCGATCCTCCGTCCGTTGCATAAAGACACGCTTGTGACACGCCATCGTATCCTATTCCTCATCATCCTGTCCTGGGCTGGCAGCTTTTTACTAGCCATGTCTCCGCTCATGCTGAGCAACAGCTTCACACTGGAGTACAACGAGTGCAGTCGGATGTGCAACTACGCACCTTTACTGATCAGAAATCAGCTGCCTCCAGATGCTAACATCCTTCTGCTGTTCCCAGCCTTCGACTTCAGCTTATTAGGAGGCACATTAGCCGTGAACATCCTATCCTTTACTAGCATCCGCCGCTATTCCCGCAAACGCAAGCTGCTCTCCGAGGGAAGTCTTGGCCCGGATACGGGAGCCGGTGGGTGTGCTCATAGACCCTCGTTTTCTGATATCAAAGCCGCTAAAACCATAGGGATCCTCACCTTCGCCTTTACAGCCTCATTCTCTCCTATCGCAGTGTTCGTTCTGGGGAATGTTGTGGGATTCACCTGGTGCAACTTCTCCTTCTTGGCATTTTGGATTCTGACGGGCAATAGTTGCTGCAATGTGATTATTTACAGTGTGCGGGACCATCGTTTTAGGAAAGGGCTGACCTTGCTCTTTCAGCGGGATAGAGCGCAACCTCACTCAGAGAAAAGCTGAGGTCATGGACACTGGATGGCACTGACTTCACTTTCTGTACCTCTTTCCACAAAGCGCCGCACATGACAAGCAGACGAAAATATATATCGAGGCCACGAATTAAGAATTCATTCCTACTGCTTATTAAAGGGTTAGCTCACCCAACGATGACAATTAGCCCATGATTTACTCGCCCTCGAATCATCCTAGGTGTATATGACATTCTTCTTTCAGACGAACACAATCAGAGTTATATTAAAAAAATGTCCTGACTCTTCCTAGCTTTATAATGGCAGTGAATGTTTCTGTTTATAAGAGTGCATCTATCCATCATAAAATTGCATTTATCCATCTATCCATCATAAAAGTGCATCTATCCATCATAAAAGTGCATCTATCCATCATAAAACTGCATTTATCATTTCCACTATGACAAACTATACTTGCGTCGTCAGGATCCTGACGCTTTGACATTTATAAATCACCATGATGACAACCTATGTCAAACATTGTGCCAAAAATCGGGCTGATATTGTGTTGTCTGAACCTGGCATGATAAAACCATACATATCTATCATATGGCATAAAACAAGATTTCATGCTCACGATTACTTAAAACGAGGGAACGAATTAAATGAGCTGATGTATAATAAGTCTTGATAACAAATTGTTAATTTACGGCCACGATATACATATTTTTCCCTGTAACTGTTATGTCATGTGCGGCGCTCTGTAACTTTCGCCTCAAGAGATTAGTTTGTTTTTCAGGATCTCTTTCACAAACGATTGAAGGACAACGATAAGCGTCAGTCCAATGATTTTGAGATAGGTCAATATTGATGAGTTTGGCAGTTGTCATTATGTTTTACAGAGAATTATAGTCTATTAGCAAATCCATGCAGTTATTCTTTTTTTTTTTTTTTAATTAAGGGCAGAGTATCATATTTACAACAGATACTATCACATCTTAGTATACGCCGTTGTACGATTGACAACAGACGCCTTAACGATTATTGTTTCGTGTATCTTACATAAACTTGTGAAAGCTAGCCTATGTTTGTGAGGCATTTTTGAATGTGATTTATTGAAACACCTCACGTTTTTTCTAAGATGAAAAGTAATGGATGCTCTGTAAAACGCGATTTCAAATTAGGTGAGTGATTCATCGTATTCAACATTTTATTATATAGTTACCTTGAATAATACAGCTGAGGTACCTTTTTTTTGTTTTTTGTTCAAATGCAGACTTTTCTTTCCACTTTCAGATTTTCATTTCTAAAAAAAAAATAGTGAAGTAAAAAAAAAAAAAATACAAGCTGGTGGGCACTCATAAAACTGTGAAGTACATAATCTGTGCAATCAATAAACAATTTGAAGCAAATGTGTCCCATGTGTTCAGTGAGTGTGGATAATAGTAGCTGACAGGGCTAAAAGTTTTCTGTTGAAATATTTACAGCTTCAGCAGAGCAAACACACTGACGGAAACGCGTCTCACACACTCAAAGATATAGACATTTAAATGCATATGGGCTGGTTTGACAACGGAGAAACACAATAGTTGCACCAACATATAGGCTATTTTAAACTGCATACAATAATTATAGTAAATGTAGCCCGATGCGAAACACACATTTCAGGTTCTTTGGGAGAATGTGATAAAAAGGCTTTAGTATTTAATCCTTATCTTACATTTAGCGGAATCTGGGAACGGGCTGGGTCGCAAAACAAACAAGTTTTGTTGTATTTGTTTTAGTTATTATAACTATAGTTACATTTTTATTTGATCAATTGTGTACAATAATAAATGTTACAGTGACAGAAATGTAATGTGATTTGTGTCAGGAGTGCACATGTTGAATCAAAGTTGTATTTATCATTATTTCACATGAAAAGAGAATGCACATATTTATTTATTCAGTTGAACCTGCTTCTATTTATAAGTTGGTGATTTCACAAAGCAACGTCAAAAGTGTACACATTTAAAAAAAAGATACATTTTAATGTTTGCATCACATTTATTATGCGATCTGACGATCGAGGTTCGATGTTGATACAGTCAGAGCAAAAGAAGGACAAAATACAGGAGTTATGATACAATTTATTAGCCTGGACTCCAGCCCGAACCTCGCCCACAATATTTTTTGGTCGGGAAGTTCGGTCTGGACTCGATCCATTGAAGAGTAATTATGATCATGGACAGTAAAAGATTATGATCAGTCAAAAAATGAATGGGCCAATCAGATTGCCAGGGCGGGCTTTATACCATGATGGACAGATGATCTGCAAGGACGTAATCATCACGTTATCATGAGCACTGGTTTGAAACCAGTGGTTTCCCTTTAGTCTGGGTTTTTATTCGCGATTTTATTCACGCTGAAAGGCAGTCTGGACACCATGGCCAGATTTTCGCCTTATTTAGGGAACCAATCACAGAACGGGGAGGGAGCAGCAAGACGATGACGACATCTATGCGACCCACCGAAGTAGTTTTACATCTTCAACATGGCAGCAGACGCGAAGTTACCTTTTGATGCAGCCTTATATATTGTTCTAAGTAGTTTAGAATGCAAGTTTATTTTGAAAAAAGAGCAGCTTTTGGCGTTAAACTTTGCGAGATCCCAGTCGTTATTGCTGCCTCTTCATTAATCGCCCTAATGGAGGAACAGTAACTACAAGAGGCCGTCAACCTTGGAATATCTGCAATTCAGCTGTGTCCCGAGAAAGAAAATGCGATAAAGAATTGTCGATACCAACATCTCTCTTCGGCAGTCCCGATGACTGGATGAGCGCAAAGTGGCAAGACATGATAGCCACGGAGTTGTATAGTACCAACCTGCTAGGCATCGTCGTTCGACGAAGTCCATTTAACTTATAAATGGTAAGTGGTATTTATTAATATCATATTGCCATAATGCCTGTAGACTACTGTGGTTGTCACAGTTCCAAGTTGTGTTAATTGCTTTTCAATATCAATATAGGCCTACAGCTACCGCTTTAGCATAACTTTCAGCTGTGCACACGTACCCGATTAAAGTTGTTGACACTTTAGTCATTCAATTTAAAAAATGTTAAACTTGTGAAGTACAAGCGCAAACAATTTCTAATGCAAATAACAACTTCAACGTCTATGTTAAACTGTACTTAATACTTGTGTTTTTCTAATTGAAACGATTGGCTATAGACATTCTTAGCACCCCATTTCACAAGATGTAAACAACACTGGTCCAGAAGCACTTCCTGTTTCAGTTTTTTAACACTACATAAAAGCTGGGATAAAATACAACCAACAGAACATTTAAAACTGAATCAAAAAGTTAAACAAACATCTTTAAGATGTTTTATTTACATGTGAAATAAAGAAAACAGTTACAAACTGAAACAGGAAGTGCTTCTGGACCAGTGTTGTTTACATCTTGTGAAATTCGTAAACCACGCCTCAAATACGAGAAAATGAACATGTGGTTCCCAGACCCAAGTCTAGAGAATTGGGCTGGCGTTAGCCAGGCTAGGTTTCCCTGACTGCAGCTGGAGAATTGAGATGTGTAGATTCCGCTGTCGCGTCTGTTGTAAAATAAATGTACAGCGCATTCATTTTAATAGACGAACAGAAAACTACAATCAAGGCATTTGTCGATCGGAAAGATATTTTTGCCGTCCTTCTTACATGATTCGACAAAAGTGTAACTTATCAGCTGGCTCTGAATCTGGTCGCTAAGAAGATTGTACTTAATGAAAAGCCTGTGGTTTCTCCTTTGGTCTTTATTTAGTTAGTTATTTGACAGGGACAATGTACATTAATTGACATTACTGCACCAGAATTAGCCAAAAGGCTATTTTTCATCTGTTGTCACTCATAAGTAAAAGAAGCTACACTTGTTATTTAACTTCTAAAAAATAAGTAAGTTCTGTATAGTTGAAAACTGCGCTATGCAAAGGAGTTGACTTAATACGTTGCTCTGATTGGTTGTAGGTCTACCGACTATCCAATTGAGTGAAGAGGGTTTTTTTTTTCCTGGTTCGGTTAAGACACGCCTCATAATCAAAGCCCTACGGAGCGTTTCAGACTCATATTCTCACTAGAATATGAGTATGACGAAGTCAGGCTAACAATTTATGACATATGATCAAAAATGTTGGTGTTCAGAGCGGCAAATAAGGAGAGACAAGCATTGATGAAATATGAGTAATGCATATTTATAATGGCAATTGTTAGCATGAGTTGATTACATAGTTTGATCGATCATGCCTATTTTTAAAATAATAACAATGAATCTTTCATTCAACTGACGAGACTTGGCACTTCTAATGAACAGATTGAATATAGGCTTAATTTTATACACATATAAACATTAATCAATGCACACACACCAGATATGGTACAGAATCTCAAGTTTGAGCTTCTGCAAGGACCAATGAGGATCATTCTCGTGTAACGCATCCCGATTGAGCTTCTGCGAGAGCCAATCAGGTTCATCCTCACAAAAGGACCAATAAGAAAATAAAGAGTCAAGCTTTAGATTGATTTAATTCTTGTCCTGCAAAGTTTAGCTTTAACTGTAATGAACCAGAATTGAAAAGGCTAATCAAGATCAAAGGCTCTGTTTAATCCTGCTATTAAGATGCGTTTCGGTGGATCGGATCACAAGTGGACGAGAGACACATTCCTGTTCACACCTGGTGTTTTAATCCGTCTCTTTTATATCTTTTTGTCATTTTAAGACCCCGTTTACTCCTGTCGTCCACTTGTGATCCGATTGACCAGAACGCATCCTAATCCCATGGCCAATGACGAGCATGTTTGATTAAGCTAAACTCCGTTATATGGTTATTTTCTAAAAGCCGTGAGCTAATTTCAGTGTGTATCTGTGAGTTGATGGCCTGGAGAATAATCCATGCGACAGCTGTAGGAGGAACCGCGAAGAACATTCAGTCCTCATGATCACACACTCGCAAGAACACACATCTGTCCTTCTAACTGGAAGCATGACAAAATAAATGCGTCAAGTTAGTAATGTCCTTATTGTATTCAATTTCTCTAGTGACTATCCCTAACATGAAAAGTCAATGGATAAATAATCTTAATGCTCATAAAATTTAATTTCTCACGTTTGGGTGAAATATGACACAAACGTATCCCAGCATGCAATAGCCGTCATTTCACCGTCTCGGTTACACTCCGGCTGTGAGTGAGGAACACACTTCTAGACAAAATAACCTTGAATTTGGTTACATGTCACGAGATGTGTGATATTCCATCATGTTAGCAAAGTCTACAGTGATTAAAAGCTGTTTTCATTTCGTTTTATGTCTTTGTTATCTAATTGATGACTAAGTCTATTCTTGGGTTATGGTTTGGACATTTATTGCAATATCACTGACAGGCCAAATTCTGGCTTGTTTTAGCCTAGACGTCTGGACTGTGTTTGGACGCTATTAGACATCTTTTAAACGCAAAATGTATTAAATTTCTAGAGTAATCATATCTTTATGTTAGGGGGTTGCTTTCCTAAAATGAAAATTAAATGCAAAATATATATATATATATTAATGGTCCCAAAACAGCATTTTTATACTTTTTATAAATTTACGTCGTATTATACAATATGCCGTTCTTCACATAGAAACTGTATCTCCGTTTTTTATTAGGGCTGGGTATTGACGCAAATTTCACAATTCGATTCAATTTCGATTCACAAGCTTGCAATTCGATTCAATATTGTTTATTTTGGATATCAGTTCCAATAAATGGCAAATTTTCTCAAGGAAATCAAATCTCTTAACTAACGCTGTAAACTGTGGGAGTCTAGTTGTAGCCTATAGGCTTCATTAGCCAAATATGAAGGTAATAATGAACTGTTTTGTAGCTGTACAAACACTTAAATTACACTTTTATTTATTTTTATAATAAGAAAATTATAAGAAATATAAACATTCAAATGGTGGCTGTCATAAAAACGTGCCAGATTTATTCAAATATGCATTAAATATTAAAGAACATTAAGATTATAATGCATATGTAATATGGTGTATATATTTAGCAAAATGCTCCTCTCTAGAGCTATTTTTTCTAGCTGACTAACGAGTTGATGTGGGTTTTCTGAGGTAAATATAACGATACATGCGCCAAAATGTTATTTATTTTTTTTAATTTCTAAAGAAAATGGACGTAATTGGAAAATTGAGACTTTGTTTCATAACAAAGGAAAAACATTATTGCGATTTTTTTTGGATGCGCGCAGCCGCGATACAATGATCCATTCATTCAAACGAAACAGGATGACTAATCGATTCTTGAGATTTAAGAATCGATATTGGTTCGTAAAAATGAGAATCGATTAATATCGAGAAATCAATATTTATTACCCAGCCCTAGTTTTTATTTCCCGAAAATGAATTTTTAATGAATATAACATTGTGAATCCTAGTTTCCAGTATAACTCAACCTTGTTTATTTTAAAGATGTTTATTTTTGTATCACTGAAAAGAACATGCCTCAAAAGAAAAAGTGTGTGTGGATGACTTTCACCCCACGAGCTATTTTATGACGTTACCACTGTCGCCCAAAAAGAAAAGCAAATCAAGGCCACAGGTGGTTTGTATTTAATTATTTTAGCAGAATATATCTCCATGTAATCTAGGCCATAAAGGTAAATCAACATGCTCTCTTCTGAAAGCACTTCGGGCTGCGTCTCACACCGACCTTCACTGTCTCCTTGCCAACAGCAATCTTCCCAAACAAAAGATTTACATATTTGTAGTTGGGAGGGAGTAAACGCACACACAAACCTTAAACCATGTTCCTGTCGGCTTCACAGCGCCTCAGGGCCAGCACGTGACCTCAGTGACTAACCTGTTTTCACAGTACAATAACCTCAGGTGATTATATATTATATACAGGCAAACCAAAAATAATTCCGATCTAATATTTGTTACTAGTGTGTGCAGGACAATAGTTCATTTATGTAAGTGATTTTGTATGTAAGGATTTTTCTCCATATAATGGACTTCAGTGGGAACCAAACGGTTCAAGGTCCAAAAGACAGTTTCAGTGCAAACTGTTCAAAGGGCTTTAAACGATTCCAGATGATGAATAAAAAAGTAAGTGAGTAATGCACTGTGATCAAAATGAACAAATTTTTTCCCGAGTCAATTCGTTAGTTTCGTTCGTTGAATGAACCAAATGGCTCTGAAAAAGATTCGTTCGTTTGATGAACGAGTTCGAACAGGAGAGTCACTAACGCGCATCACAGAGCAAGGTGAGCATTTGAGCTTATAAAACTTAAACTTTGTTATTTATTTATTAAATGCATGATCGTTTCGCTTGATAAGACCCTTATTCATCGTCTGGAATCGTTTAAAGCCCTCTGAACAGTTTGCACTGAAACTGTCTTTTGGACGTTGAAGCGTTTGGTCCCCATTGAAGTCCATTATATGGAGAAAATCCTGGAATGTTTTCATCAAAAACCTTAATTTCTTTTTGACTGAAGAAAGAAAGACAGACATCTTGGATGACATCATGGGGGTGAGTAAATTATCAGCAAAAGTTTTTTCAAAAGTGAACTACTCCTTTAATGACAAATTCAATTTGTACCACTACATGTAGTTGAGGTCACAATGACACAGTTATAGCGGCCTCATGACAGTCAATGTCAAAACCAACCACATGACAGTTTAATGTAACATTAACCCATAAAGCTAAAGTAATTAATCTACTATGTCATGTTTATGACAAATTATGTTGTTTTGGTAATGTCAAGTTGTCAATACATCTCAAACAAGGGCATTTTGCATTAAAAAATGTCATAATTGAGCGAATGACACTTAATGATAGTTGTCATAAACATGCATAAACCCTCCTTCATATTGATGATGTATTGAACATGAACTATTCCACTGATCACTGAACTGCATTGAATGTCAATTTTTGTTTTTAATGATACACTGAAATGCATTGGAAAATAAGTGTTTTATTGAAGATACACTAAAATACATTTTACGAAGAATTTATGGAGTTAATTGAGACATAATAGTGAATATCCAGTTTTTTAAATGTAATATAGCTCTCAGACTAAGATGACACTAAGCAAAATCTCAACAATTACACCGCTAGTTACCAAAATATGAGTGTTTTAATAATAGAAACAACCTCAGCATGTAGATCTATTCATATATTTTCAGACAGTCATTTTTAAAATAATCCCAATATTCACAGATATGTTATCTTTCAAACGACATAACTGCTGTGGTTTATTAAAAAACCCACTTTTGTTTTTTGATTTGATCAGAAAAAGAAAAAAAAACTTGATGAGTGTGTTAAGACTGAATAGCTTTTTTTGTTGATACAAAGTTATGTACACACAGGTATTTTACTATTTAACACTAGTCTGCCTACACAAATGGATTATGAACTGCAAGAGACAGTGAGACGCCGATCATTTACATAGTTATGAAACGGCATCCTCTGTTCCCAACACCAGAATCTAGAATAAAATGAGTTTGATGACGTCTCAAACCAAGCGTTTTCCTTCTCGATTTGAGTTTGAGGCGCGACACAATCAGGATATCGATCTCCCAGAGTATTCCTCACGTTTTTCCTTTTGCTCTGTAAAATGGCAACAAGGCATTGATATTAATATGGTAATCCTGTTGGGATATTGGCACAGAAAGGGTTATTGAGTCTCACCCTGCAGGAGCAGTTCGACCTCCTCGTTGTTCTCCACAGCCACTGGCCTCAGGATCATGGCAAAGAAGATTGCCACAAATATCACCTGTTATGAAAGACAACAGTCATCTCTGAGACAGCCAAATACAATTAGTTTGAGAGCAAACAGAGACTGTTGCTTAAAGGCATAGTTCACACATTCATTCATACTGCATTATTCATATACTAGGAAGGTTTACAATAAATGACTGAGGTTTGTGTTGCCCTATTTTTACGGCCCCCGATATACTTCAAGTGACATCGAAGAACAAAACGATGTGACATCATTTCAAAACAAAATTACATCAGTTTGGAGTGCACTGTAAAAACGCATATGCTTTATCTGATCAATAGAATTGTGGTAACGGATTACAAACAATATTATTGATTAAATTTAACCAATAATAGTTCGTTAGTTTATAAATTTATAAATGATGCCTCTTCCACATCATCATTTGTATTGTTATTTTTTTATTTAAATATCTGTACTGTGTTGTCTCTGTCTGGAATAAAGTTGATTAATTGATTAACAAATTCGAAATGAGTAATAATTAATTAAATTATTCCTTAAAAGTTAACCGTTTAAAATGAGTAAAATTTACACCAAAAAATGTAACAAAAATATCTCACCAACAGACAGACGTCAAAGATTAATTAAGAACTCGTTATTTTATATTGCCAGCATTAAATTCACCTGATGTTAAAAAGCAGAATCACTGAAGGAGAAAAACTTAATTTTTAAAACAAACACTGATCACCATAATGGTGACATAAATGTGTTTTTTTTTTTTTTTTTGGTTGTTGTTGTAAATTTTTACTCATTTTAATTGGTTAACTTTTAAGGAATTGATTTGATTAATTATTACTCAATTCTAATTTGTTAAATTTAATTAATAATATTGCTTGTAATCTGTTACCACAATTTTTTTGATTAGATTAAGCATATTAATTTTTACAGTGCGTGAAACAACTTGCTAAAGCGAAATTTGCCAGAAAAGTTCACTCTCCGGCTGGTAAACGCCTCTGAACTCCCATTGGTCTGTGTGGTGATGATGTAATAGGTGGGTGTGTCTCTGAGGCTCCGCCTTCTTTGAGGTGTAAATCATCTCCGCTTCAGTCCGTCGAGGTCAGACGCGAGTAAAAGCATGAACACACTGTTGTAACGAGACAGGTTTTTTTAAAAATATTTTTTTTAGTTAAAGGGTAACTAAACCCCTGGTCAGAGCCTGACTCCACCCACTGGCAATATTTGAAAAATGCTGGAAAAGTGGGCCGAGCCCAGCGGAGGGGGGCGTGCACCTGAGACGCATCTCTTTGTATGGAACTTGCCAACGTCACCAACAACCGCTGTGTCACGTAACACCGCAAACATCCAATAGACCATTTCACAAGATGTAAACAACACTGGTCCAGAAGCACTTCCTGTTTCAGTTTTTTAACACTACATAAAAGCTGGGATAAAATACAACCAACAGAACATATAAAACTGAATCAAAAAGTTAAACAAACATCTTTAAGATGTTTTCTTTACATGTGAAATAAAGAAAACAGTTACGAACTGAAACAGGAAGTGCTTCTGGACCAGTGTTGTTTACATCTTGTGAAATGGTCTATAGGAAAATTCAACTGCAGTAGCCAACGTTCAACCTGAAGAGGGCAGCACTAAGACGTTTTTACACCATATATTGTAGAAATAGAACAATTTATAAACAAATGCCATAAAAGTTACTCGAATCAATGACTGGTATTAATAAAGATCCATTCTTACAGATCATTAACTAAAAAAAGTTGGTTAATTGTTTAGTTACTCTTTAAGATGCTATTTGCGCTATAATACGAAGATCCGCGGAACTGTAACTAGCATCTTATGTTTCTGAATAAAAAAAGATGTCGACACTGTGTAATGAACTTGCCCTGGTTCTAGTTTTGGATTAAGTTGTTGTTGTCATTTGTTATCGATGTTAGTCCCGCCCCTCCTCCACTGTGATTGGATGGATGGGTAAAAAGTGACCCTTGAAAACAATTGGAAAAATGTTCCAGCTACGGGAATTAAAGGGATACTTTCGAGTCGATGAGAGCAGACACTGTCTGGTTACTGATATTCTTCTAAATATCAGAAATATTTCGGCTGAATGGATTCGAAAACGGTAAAATTCAAACCACTGGTCATGTGTTTCAAACTACTTTTTACCCCTTGAGTATATCGGCTCTTTCGTCCTTTTCAGCCTTACGAACGTTGTTTCTTTTGGGTTCCAGCAAAGATTAGCAGATTTTTGGGTGAGCTATTCCTTTAAGTCTCCTGCTTCTCAAAATTATTTTTCCTGAGAAGACCCCAGTAATCATCCTGGTTCTTACCTTAAGCGGCTGCATGATGAAGATGCTTTGGACAAGCGATAATGTAAGAGTGATGACCCACTGTATGGAGGAATCCCTTCCGTACTGGAAGCCATAAAACAGGGTGAAGAAGGTGGAGAACCCGCTCATGGCAAAAAGCAGGAACCAGCCAATAAAAACACACCACCAAGGCAACCACCAACCCTGTTTCTTCTTCTCTACTTGCACAGTTGGTTGGCTGAAACAAAAGAAAACAAACAAAAAAAGTCAGCAAAGTACTGAATTTACAGTGTACCTATAAAGTACATGCGTTGCGTAGGTATAAGGAAACAAACTGGAAATATTATTCTACTGCAGGCAACTATCTTACGCAATTTAGCGAGAACATCCACTGCGTATATTTTTGTTATAATAGTGTAGCAATAAATCGAGGCCTTTTCAAATTACAAGGTACTGTATATATCAATGGAAGCTGGTTTCCGCCACCGAATTAAAAAATTCAAAAGATATTTCGGCTTTTTATCTTACAATTGCAAGTTTACAGAATTGCGTGATATAAAAAAAAGACTTTATAGACTTTTTATCAATCGATCATTTTTAAAAAAAAAAAAAGTTTGAATTGTGAGATAAAAACTTGCAATTACCTTTTTTATGTTTTTATTCTGCGACGGAAACAAGCTTCCATACATATCACTGCATTTACACAGTATTTTTTTTTGTCGAAAAAGTGCAGATTTTAACAGCATTTCCTAAAAGTTCTTGAGTTGTAATTTTGACTACATTTACAACAGGAGAAGCAGCAGAGATGACGGTCCTGACCTTTGGAGAGTGAACTTGGCAGACGCCATTTCAGCTTTCTTCAGCAGAACATTGACCGTTCCACGAGCCTCCCGAAGCTCTTCATTAAGAAAGAAACCCTTTTCTCCCACATGCTCCAGTAGGTGAGAAAGATGGCTCAGTGAATAGTGCACGAAGTGGCTGCAGTACGACCAATGAGGGTCACCAACACTTTCCACTGAATTGGAACACACAATGGAGCTATGATGAGTCCCTGTATCATCTAAAACAAGCACATTTGAAAAAAAAATCTAATGCCTCCACCTGCTACTATAGCCACGCCCCAATGTCTCCGCCTGCTACTATAGCCACGCCCCAAAGTCTCCGCCTGCTACTATAGCCACGCCCCAATGTCTCCGCCTGCTACTATAGCCACGCCCCAAAGTCTCCGCCTGCTACTATAGCCACGCCCCAAAGTCTCCGCCTGCTACTATAGCCACGCCCCAATGTCTCCGCCTGCTACTATAGCCACGCCCCAAAGTCTCCGCCAAGTCTCCGCCTGCTACTATAGCCACGCCCCAAAGTCTCCACCTGCTACAATAGCCACGCCCCAAAGTCTCCGCCTGCTACATTAGCCACGCCCCAATGTCTCCGCCCTGCTACTATAGCCACGCCCCAAAGTCTCCGCCTGCTACTATAGCCACCCTAAGTCTCCGCCTGCTACTATAGCCACGCCCCAAAGTCTCCGCCTGCTACTATAGCCACGCCCCAAAGTCTTAACCTGCTACTATAGCCACGCCCCAAAGTCTCCGCCTGCTACTATAGCCACGCCCCAAAGTCTCCGCCTGCTACTATAGCCACGCCCCAAAGTCTTAACCTGCTACTATAGCCACGCCCCAAAGTCTCCGCCTGCTACTATAACCACGCCCCAAAGTCTCCGCCTGCTACTATAGCCACCCTAAGTCTCCGCCTGCTACTGTAGCCACACCCCAAAGTCTTTGCCTGTTATAATAGCCACGCCCCAAAGTCTCCGCCTGCTACTATAGCCACGCCCCAAAGTCTCCGCCTGCTACTATAGCCACGCCCCAAAGTCTCCGCCTGCTACTATAGCCACCCTAAGTCTCCGCCTGCTACTGTAGCCACAACCCAAAGTCTTTGCCTGTTATAATAGCCACGCCCCAAAGTCTCCGCCTGCTACTATAGCCACGCCCCAAAGTCTCCGCCTGCTACTATAGCCACGCCCCAAAGTCTCCGCCTGCTACTATAGCCACGCCCCAAAGTCTTAACCTGCTACTATAGCCACGCCCCAAAGTCTCCGCCTGCTACTATAGCCACGCCCCAAAGTCTCCGCCTGCTACTATAGCCACGCCCCAAAGTCTTAACCTGCTACTATAGCCACGCCCCAAAGTCTCCGCCTGCTACTATAGCCACCCTAAGTCTCCGCCTGCTACTGTAGCCACGCCCCAAAGTCTTAACCTGCTACTATAGCCACATCCCAAAGTCTCCGCCTGCTACTATAGCCATCCCCAAAGTCTCCGCCTGCTACTATAGCCACGCCCCAAAGTCTTAACCTGCTACTATAGCCACGCCCCAAAGTCTCCGCCTGCTACTATAGCCACCCTAAGTCTCCGCCTGCTACTGTAGCCACACCCCAAAGTCTTTGCCTGTTATAATAGCCACGCCCCAAAGTCTCCGCCTGCTACTAATAAAAAAGTAGTAATAGTAATAAAATAATAAAATGTACTAATCTGACATTAGTGAGAGGCATTACATAACTATAAACTCATTGAAATGCTAAATATAGCACATAGCAATGAAATGTGTAGTACTGATCAAGGAACCTTGCATGATCTGAAGGACGTCATGCACTTTATTCAGGGCCCAGAAAAAATCACCACTCGTCTCAGGCCGTATCTCTTTGGCAGCCAGATTGTTTTTTGGGCTTTTGCTCAGATGATTTAACAGTCCTATGGTTTCCTAAGAGTAAGAACAGAACATTCACACATAATGCATGCAATAAATACTCGAGAGCGCAGAGTTATGAGAGAGAGAGAGCAGTTATTATGCAGTCAGTGCCTTCATGATGGTGTTCATAGATATGGCAGCAGCTGCTTTAGTTTTCTTGGAGGAGTCAGCCTTGTCTTTATTCGAGAGAATGCGTGGTTTGATGTGTCTGAAGATAGTAATGATGAGGATGTTGATGGGAAACATGAAAAGGCCGCTCTCTACGGCTACCATGAACTCCTGCCACGTCAGCTCAAAAGAACCTGTAAAATTCAAGATATTTTCAGTAAAATAATAAAGACACACACACACACGCATATATATATATATATATATATATATATATATTAGGGCTGTAAAATGATTAATCGCATCCAAAATAAAAGTTTGTGTTTACATAATATATGTGGGTGCACAATGTATAATTACGTTATATATATGTATATATATGCACACACATTCATGTATATTTAAGAAAAAAATATTATTTATATATAAAATATTTATTCATATATAATATAAATTATACATATATATATATATATATATATATATATATATATATATATATACAGTATATAAATGAAAATATTTACAAGCATGTGTGTGTTTTTATATATATATATATATATATATATATAACATAATTATTCACAGTGCACCCACATATATTATGTAAACACAAACTTTTATTTTGGATGCGAATAATCACGATTAATTGTTTGACAGCCCTATTATATATATATATATATATATATATATATTAGTGCTGTCAAAATTAGCGTTAACACATGCAATCAATGAATTAATGGCTGTTGAAGCCTAAAAGTTTATGTGTAGTAAATTCAATGTTGAATCAGATCAAATATTCTTTTTCTAAAGCTACTTTGTGTAATGTCTTCTTTTTTAATTTAACACAATAATACATTTAAATGATCTTTCGGGGGTTAATTACTACAAAAGATTAAGTATATACAGGTGAAAATTAGAATATCATGTGACAGTAATTCAACATATACATATGCATGATTATACTTTTCAGAGGGCCGACATTTCTGTATTTAAAATCCCTTTTTTATCAATTTCATGCAATAATAAAATTTTCTGAGATTTTGAATTTGGGGTTTTCATAAGCTGTGAGCCATAATCATCAAAATTATAACTTTTGCATGAGTTTCACCTGTATATATATATATATATATAATAAAATATATATGTGTAATGAACATAAATTAATAAGCAACTGAGCAGAAAATGCTCCTCAAAGCAAGACTGTCTCAAACACGATGCTGTTGAGAACGAGACGTCACATTTGAGCGTTGCATAACCTCAGCAAATGAAACATGCAGCAGAGAGGTTTTCTGACCTATCTTTAGAAGGACCGGAGACTCTTGATCCGTGGGAAGGTTCCAGAACATGATGTTAATGGCCATGGTGCAGAGCAGAAGAGACATGCAGCACGAGACCCTCTGCACGCGGGTGAAGGGACTGCGCCGGGGCGGGTCCACGATCGACACCCAGATGTGCTCGTCCCGGAAGCCGGAAGATGTCCGGGTCTGGAAGATGTTCCTGGGATGGGGTGGTTTAGTTAGAAAGGTAACATGTATCCAAAATATTTTAACATGTACACTACCACTCTAAAGTTTGATATTGGGTACACTTTTCGATGGCCCACTTTAGACATTCAAGTAACTTTGCAACTAACTCTCATTAGAGTATCAATAGACTGTGATTAACCTCTTATCAAGCACCGGCCCGATTACGGGCCGTCGAGGGCGTGGCTAAACTTTTATTACCTTTTTTAAGCTTTGTTTTATAACAAATATTCAACTGACTATCATAAACTATGCATCATTTGAAAGCTAAAACACTCAAGAATCATGTTCTAAACTTGTTTTTGCAATCAATACAACAGAGAGGAAAGGGTTAAATTAAATGCAAAAGGACCTCTCATTTGAAAATGAGTAAAATGAACCGCTATACTCATCTTTCATCTCGTATAGATACAGTCGGCAACGCGTCATAGTTGGGGGGCGTGGTCGGCGTGGGGGAAAGCAGCGCGACCATCCTATGTATTTGAATGACAAAAATGTCATATTGCGAGTCATTTATGCCTGCCGACCGGCAACGATACATTGCAAATTTAACTGTAATAGGTTATGATTGCCCTTATTTAATTAAAAACTGGGCCAATGACCCAACCAAATGGCCGGAGGTGTCGTTTCCAGACTATTATTAGGGCCCAAGCCCTGAAAGGGCGAAGGCCCTATTGTTTTCCTTGGGATTATTATTCTTTAGTATTATTATTATTTTGCTACCTTTTGGGCACTTTTGGGGCCCTTAACGTGCTCGAAAACTCTTGAAACTTTGCACACGGGTCAGAACCCGCGGCCATCAGAGCCGGGCTGAAGATGATACCCGGGCGTGGCAGGGCAGCTCGTCAGCGCCCCCTGGAACGGGGTCCGAACACTTGGTCCATAACTCAAACACGCTTGTATGTAATAATATGAAACTCGGTACACACGTTGATCTCATCGTTTCATCTATACCTCGCGCTCTTACTTTTTACCCCAGCCCAACAGGAATTTGGCTATTGAGGTTTGTTTGTAAAACGCTCGCAATGGAATGTCAAATACTCCTCCTAGAGCTTTGATCCACATTCGACGAAACTCGGTCAGCGTGAAGTCAAGACATTGAGGATGAAAGTTTGCGAGGGGATTTTTTATATCTCGAACGGTTTGTCCGTGGCGAGGAAACGAAATCATGGCGAGAAACGTGAAACAGGAAGTGTGTTATAACTTCAGCATACATTAACTGATCTTGATGAAACTTCAGCAGTGTGTTCGCTGTAAGAGGACGATCACATGGATGTGACTATTGTGAGTCAAAGTTATAGCGCCACCAACTGGCAGCAGGAAGTGTGTCACTTTCAAAATGCTTAGATATCACCCTTTTATTTTTACCCGATTTGCTTCAAACTTCATATGTATAATGTAAACATACGGCAGATGTAGACCTGTGAATGGATTCTTGATATCTTTGAAACTGTTGCCGTGGCGACGCATCAAACTTTACCCTTCTTTTAGGATGCTTTTTGGATGCTTTTGAGACCCTTAGCATGCTTCAAATTGCATGAAACTCGACAGACACATCACATTTATTAGCCAGTAGACATGTGCAAAGTTTCAGAAACGGGCGTGGTGAGGGCTCAGTAGCGCCACCTTTTGACAAAAGTGGGGTGGTTAGTTTTAACTAGAGTTACAAAAATTGGTATGTATATTGTACTCCTCGAGCCGGACAACTTTCTAATTGACACTTATTAGCTAGGACCCACAGAAACTCAGATATTTTTGTTTGAATATGGCCACTCTGAGCCTTTGGCTGGCTGGCTGGCTGGCTGGCTGGCTGTCTGTGTGTGTGTGTGTGTGTGTGTGTGCAGGGGGAGGGGGCTTAACCATTTCACTGCTGTGTGTATGACCTGCATAAAGAAAATACATTTCTCAAGCCTGGTATTTTTTAAATAAGTTTTTATTTTTATTTTTTATAAGTAAAGGCATATAACTAGTTTAATTGTAGTGAATTGACAATAGTTTTATATAATTAGTTTATTAATCAGATTAACTTGGTCAATAAACTTGGTCTGAAAATTTGGTCCATAAATCAAACACACTTGCATGTAATAATATGAAACTTGGTACACATATAGATCTCATCGTTTCATATATACTTCACACTCTTACTTTTTACCCCAGCCCAACAGGAAGTTGGCTATTTAGGGTTGTGTTTAAAACACATGCAATGTAATTTAAATTATTGCTCCTAGAGCACTGAACCAAATTCGACGAAACTCGATCAGCGTGAAGTCAAGACATTAAGGATGAAAAAGTGCCACGGGATTTTTGATATCTCGAACGGTTTGGCCGTGGCGAGGAAACGAAATTATGGCGAGAAACATGGAACAGGATGTGTGTTATAACTTCAGCATACATTAACTGATCTTGATGAAACTTCAGCAGTGTTTTCGCTGTAAGAGACCGATCACATGGATGTGACTATTGTGAGTCAAAGTTATAGCGCCACCAACTGGCAGCAGGAAGTGTGTCACTTTCAAAATGCCGTGGCAACGAAACAAACTTTAACATTATTTTTTGATGCTTTTGGGACTCTTAGCTTGCTTGAAATTGCTTGAAACTCAACAGATACATCACATTTATTAGCCAATAGACATGTGCAACTATGGCAAAAGATTAAAGTAATGTCAAAAAAGTAAACACTAAAAGCCTCATATCTTCTAAAAATGTAATTATACATCATTTGTTTCTAAATTAAATTATACAAATATTATAACTTCCCCAATTTTTCCTTTTTTTTCATTTAAGAATTGTGTTTACGTTCAAAAACAGCCAGAATTGTTGTAAAATTCAGAAAAAAATAATATTCTGAGTCATACGTAGTGCTATACTGCCCTCTTGTGTTCAATATAAGGTAGGCCTATTGTGTATATTAACCGGTTAATCAACGTGTGACTCCGCTGGGACTTGGGAGCTTTTAAATCGCTTACTTAAAACCGAAAGTCAAAATACGGATGTCCGCACAAGACATTAATGGTGTGGAGTAGAGCGAGCATTTTAAATAAATTCCTATTAAGTAGGATTGAACTAAACAGAAAGAATGTTCACTCTGTTCTGCTGGTTCCTCGCTGGTGGATCATATGATTACTTTGTCATAATCTATGACAAAAATGCTATTATAAACTATATTAATAATAGATAATACACATTGCTCTTATTTTTAAAAAATACATTCATGAAAAACAAGATAACAAAAATCATAAAAAGATATAGCCATGGCTGCTATAAATGTTTGAAATGCATAGGACAGATGTTTAATGACGCAGCAACATATAATTGAAAGGCAATTAATAATCTGTCATTACGTCACTGCATTATGATATTACGGCTCTAATACGGTGCAGCACAAAGCACTTATGTGCATCCCGAGCGGAGAATGATGTGCTTGAAGCCACATGAAGTTACAGCGCATTGAGTCCGTATTGAAAAGTTCAAAGCACAAAGGAAATACATATTTATGAACAGTGTATTATACATTATATATCTATGCAATAGTTTATTGAGCCTTTTCTTTTAAAGGTTTTAAATTTCAGTTACTGTGTGCGTGAAGAACAATTATAGTGCTCTGACTCTAGTGTTGTGATCTAACCGACAGCGTCTGACACCCGGTAGAAAGTAACACGATTAAGTTACAGCAATAAAGTCCAGCAAGAAAAAATTTCTTCATTCGAAAATATAGACCTTTAGACCTTTATCTTAAAGACCCAGTATAATAGGATTAACATTGAATCATCTTGAAGATCGTTTCATCATTGACTGTAACCGAATGCGACGTGCTGTTTGAATGCTGAATGGAGAATGACTGACAGGCGCAGAGAGGGAAAAGTTTACGTGTTCTTGAATTTAATGACTTAAATATTAATTTCTATATCACATAATAGCTTCAGAACACTTATAATACAGTACACAAAAACTTTATGGTACTTTAGAAAGTTTTTGTGCCTTTGTGCCTTACATAGAATAGTATATGCACAATATAGAATTTGAATCAGCCTCGTCAAAGATGGCAGTGTCAGAGCCGATACCGATCCTGAGTATCTAATCGGCGCACTTCTTTTCAACAGTCAAATTGAAATTGAAATTGCTTGAAACTCAACAGATACATCACATTTATTAGCCAGTAGACGTGCAAAGTTTCAGAAACGGACATGGTGCAAGGACTAAATAGCGCCACCTTTTGACAAAAGTGGGGTTGTTAGTTTTATCTACAGTTACAAAAATCGGTATATACATTTTACTCCTCAAGCCGGACAACTTTCTATTACATAGTCATTAGCTCGGACCAAGAGGAAGTCCGATGATTTGGTTTGAATATGGTGAGCCTCTCTCTGAGCCTACGTCCCTGTATGGCAAGCCCTTTTAACATTTAAAAGCTAAGTTTGCCTATCCGGAATTAACATTGTAGATATCAACAACGTCTTTCTGTCTAGTCGTAATTACATTTTGGATAGTTTGTATAATCATTTAAGATATCTGTAACATAATTTTGACTAGTCGAAATGACAGAGTATGGCAAGCCGTTTTAACATTTAATCATGAAAGGGCCAAAGCCTTCGGCACCGCCATCCGGGTGCCTTTAGGTAACTAAAGGAACCGGGGTTGCGGTGCCACCGGCTTGGGCCCGCCATCGCTGCTCGCAGCTATATTTTTTTTTTTTTTCTTTTATTTTTCTAACGACTATTCGGGCACTTTTGGGGCCCTTAACATGCTCGAAAACTCTTGAAACTTTGCACACGGGTCAGAACCCGCGGCCATCAGAGCCGGGCTGAAGCTGGTACCTGGGCGTGGCAGGGCGGCTCGTCAGCGCCCCCTGGAACGGGGTCCGAACACTTGGTCCATAACTCAAACACGCTTGTATGTAATAATATGAAACTCGGTACACATGTTGCTCTCATCGTTTCATCTATACCTCACACTCTTACTTTTTACCCCAGCCCAACAGGAAGTCGGCTATTGAGGTTTGTTTGTAAAACGCTCGCAATGGAATGTCATATACTCCTCCTAGAGCTTTGATCCAAATTCGATGAAACACGGTCAGCGTGAAATCAAGACATTGAGGATGAAAGTTTGCGAGGGGATTTTTGATATCTCGAACGGTTTGTCCGTGGCGAGGAAACGAATCTATGGCGAGAAACGTGAAACAGGAAGTGTGTTATAACTTCAGCATACATTAACTGATCTTGATGAAACTTCAGCAGTGTGTTCGCTGTAAGAGGACGATCACATGGATGTGACTATTGTGAGTCAAAGTTATAGTGCCACCAACTGGCAGCAGGAAGTGTGTCACTTTCAAAATGCTTTGAAATCACCCTTTTATTTTTACCCGATTTGCTTCAAACTTCATCTGAATAATGTAAACATAC